GGTATAATCTAACATATAATTAGTTGTATTTCGAATTTAGCGTTAGAACAGTCTTTCAAAGCGTGTTGTGTGCTTAATATAAGGAATACTTAAAGTTAAGAGCTTAACTCTCTCGCCCTCTCACAATCAAAAAAATTCGATTTCTAAAAAGATTTCATTATTAGAACTAATCCACTCTTCACTTCTAGGATGCAGAAAGAAGTTTTCATGTTTAGTACCGAAGACGCTTTCTCAATTTCTCTTTGATTAACTACTGCTATTAATTTTCCTAACTAAAAATCTAAAATGAAGCCACTTTATATAGCCCGCCTGGGAATTAGACGCTATTCATCTTACCTACTAACAAAGAGGGGTAAGGAAGGCCAAAAATGATTAAGTTCCTTATCGTTGGGTTAGTACTAGCTACCAACCCTCCTAAGTATTCTACTAAAGGCTCTGGCTGTGTGCGAGACAGCGAACGAGACAAAAAGAAGAAAAGTATGGGAGTTCTACCAGTCGAAGCGAACGTGCTAAGAGCTATGGTCCCCGTTAGTAAAACTATCGTCAACGGAAGCGTGAAGTATTACGTGGCCTACCATTAGACAATGGGCCTTTGCGACATGCCCCTCATTTCAAGTGACATGATATTCTATTTCTCCGAGATCTGGAGTAACATTTCCCACAACGCCCAAATTAAACAGCGCTAAAAGTTCCCAGAAGTTGCTGGCAGCCACAATTCAGCGGGAACTAAGAAAGAGAGTGAAGAGCCAACGAAGCGGAGAAGGGCGAGGTGGCCGTTGTTAACCCCAGCAACAGGAAGCTGCCTAACCCCCTCACAGTCACCAGGCTAGTCGCTGAATCCAACGCTATCTTCATGAAGTATTGCATCTGGAAGATGACAGACAACCTGAAAGCTGCTAAGGCGATAAGAGATACGTTGATCAAGCTCGCACCGAGACTCATTCAACAACCAAGCAACGAAGGAACGGCAGCGTTCTGCGAATTCACCAAGATCTTCTCGAAAGAAGACGCTGAGAGGTTCGTCTAAGAAGTGAAGGTATGGCTACTACTGCTGTATTACCTACTACCTATCGTTTGGTGATACCAAGATCCATTCCTTGAGCGACATTAGCTCCCATCTCATTATCGATATTCACGCTATCATAAAGAAGAACGACCTGGACAGAGAATTCCCGTATCATAACATTCCCCTCTTCCTACAGATGGTTTATGACCGCGCAACCCATGGATGGAAGCCACAACAGCTCGAATGTGTCACGCGTTAGATCCTACACGACATAGATGTCATGAATAGATTTCACCATCAACCTATGGTGAGGTTTTAAACAGCTTCGGTAAAGGAATATTAGAAGTTAAAGTGTTATCTAGGACTCATGGCTGGTGTGAAAAAGTTGTTAGGTGAAGCCCTGGCTAATATTGGCTTCGTTTGGTACCTCGATGTCTTTTACTGCAGCAATAGTTTGAGCGATGAGGAAGTCGCGGTGTAGTAGATATACTTGGTTGTTGCTAGAAGAGAAGCGGAAGGTAACAGGATAACGGCATAAGCTAGTCCTTCTTAATAGGCCTTAGAGACTGCGGAAGTCGCGCCAAATATAAGAGAATATAAGATTTATATAGAGTTGTGGGAGGTTAGTCTTAGATAGTAACTATCTATATCTTGAAGATCCTGTGGAAATTAGCTTCACGGTCGTGGGAAAGCCTGATTGGCATCCAACTATCAAATTTAATCCTTTCATCTCCTCCAAGTGTGCTACTCATGTCGAACTCGACATAGAGCTTAGTTAGTGCCTCGAAGTGGAGAATGCGGGCATTGAATGCCTCCGTAAAGAGGAGCAAGCCTAGTGGCTGGTCGAAAGCGAAAAGTGTACATGGTGTGAACAAACTCAGCACCTCGTAGGCCATTTCTGCCACGTGAGTGATGGTGTTTCCGAAAAGTTCACTCCTCTCGGCGTCGGTGACGTGGTCAATATAGAAGAAGTGGACGGTGTTTATATCGCTGATGCCACCCTCGTCTACTATTCTCTCAGCCCGCTCGACTTTAGTCTTTTTGGAGAAGACTGATATCTCGTATAGCCTGTTCCGTATCCCGGCAGGGAATCCATCGTGGCTTGGACCAGTCTCGGGAAGGTCAATCTTCCCACATTTTCACGGGAACTCTAATCCATCATTAGATACACCATCTTTGCATCCATAAAAGTGGCGTTATACCTGGCGAGTTAGGCATTAGAGGGCAACTGTGAGGAAAGCGAGCAGGCACGAGGAGTGCCTTCCACAACAAACAAGGTAAACAAACACTCCTGCATGTAACACCCCGCACTCTCCAACCACCTTCTCACTCTTCCACTTCCATTTTAATGCATAAACCGACAAAATCTAGCCTTTGACTTTGATCTTGCCTGTACTCTACTATTCGCTGTAAGCATCACTCTGACTCTTCTCCTTCCATACCCCGCCAGAAACTTATCTTTACTCCACTTGCCGGTGCTGCTTGCACTATCTCTCTCGCTGCAAGCATCACCAACACGAACACGTCTCAATACCGCATCGAGACACCATGGCTTCAACAGGAACGAAGCTGCAACCACTTACCTATGGACATAACGCCACTTCGAGCGGAGATTAGAAACTTCATCCGCACTAACCTCGTAGAAAATGAGGGGGTCAGTACCAAAATGCATCCAAAAATTATTGCGCATACCGAGAATGTCACATGTATCTTGTTAAGCCTACACAACCCACAATACCTAATTACATTCAAGAACATGCGAACCGTTTCCAACCTCACGTGGACGTCTCTTGTTTTGTGGAACTTGTGGTGATGAAGGAGGTTGCTATTGAACATGTGCTTTCTTATCACCTGTATTTGTCTCTTGTACTTCTCTTCGAGCTACTTCTCCTTATGCAACGAATTAGTTCTACAATTTAGAATTTGGTAAATGTATAGATACGAAGAACAAAAACCAAAAACTGAAGTAAAATCGATGTCGCGCATGATAACCATGTTTGGTGAGGACTTGCCATGGTTCGCACGTTTTCTCGAGTTTTAGTCGGCAAATTTCTGTGTTCACAGTCGCTACCATTCAACCACTCACCGGCGGTGCATTTGATTATAAACCTCCAGAAGAAGCATCTTTATTCTGTTGCAGCATTCTTCAACTTTAGTTCTACTACATATTTGTGCATAGGAATAATGCGATGCGACTCTTTACTATTTAGCAATGATAGCTTCTCATAACTTGACATGCATCAACACGTTATTTCACGAGGAGAAAGACATAGCCGTTGTGATTTCTCAACCCCAATTTTAACACACATGCTTCTCGCACAACATGGTTTCCTCGAGCGAATCGCCTTTCTCACGTGGATTGAACAGCTACCCAGACCCGTGGTGTGCAGTGTGTTCAAACGCCCTGACCGATCCTTCTGGTGTGAAGGATATAAACCACCACTTCAAAAACGAAGCTAACCCCCAAAATGAAGTCATCCCTGCCCTCAAGCGTAGTATCGACTTCTTCTGCCAAGCGGATGGAACCTACAGGACGCCTATTGTGAAACCGTTTAGACCCGACCCACCGACTTGGCCTTCAACACAACCATACCCAGAAGACTGGTCATCTTCCAACACAGGATGCTTAATAGCATGGCCTGGCCTTTCAACTTTTTCACCCGCGCTACAAGGCCCTATTGAACCACCAACTTCTAAATATCGACTGAAAAACCAAGAAAAGGAGGAACCGTACGAGAAACTTGGCAGCGCTGCATTACTAGAAGGCAGCGTACCCTACTTTGGCACCAGATACGGAGAATACGGTCGCGAAATTGATACCAATGCCGTATGTCGCTTCTTCGACAAAAATCGCATGGGTAGACAACAATATGCGAAAGAAGACACACGACTAATTTTCTCCTCCGTCTTAGTACCACCGTCCACTCGGCAAGCCGCCGCTCCATCCCGTCAGCCCGACTCACCACCCACGGTCTGTGCATATCCTGCACCACCACAACCTGTGACACCATCCGCTCCAAGATACGAAACCTACAGCCACGAACTCGCCAGCCGCCCCCTTTCCTAACTCACAACTCTGCCATTCCTTCCGCGCCACACCCCCTGACGCATGAATTTTGGCGCGCTGCATAGAGGTCCCGACCGGATGGTTGTAACGACGAGAGATGAGCAAAGGGAAAGGAAAAAAAAGGACCCTTTTTTTCCCGTCAACGACCATTGTGGCTTGTCTGAGCAACATTCGCGTCGCGAAAACGGAGCCTGGACATGCAAACGACCGTTTTGTTATCCGGGTAAACAGGCCGAGTAGTATTTGTGAAGCCTCCGTGTATGAGACATCTCGTCGACTTTCCACATATCGAAAAAAAAGAAGGGTGGTGAAGGAGTGAACTGCGTGGGTTTAGTTTACAAAGGGAAGGATTTGTTTCTATACTTTACTTGCCATGTCATGTGCACATGTCGATCTTTTAGATCGCTATCACAGTGGGTACTCTTTTTTCTACGACTGCCAAGAGAGGTATGCGTACCGGCTGATCAACATTGGAAGCGTGACAAATTCTAGAACGCGCCCCGCATGGTAGCAAAACACATGTCGAAACCGCATCCACAGGTGGATCTGGTGTTGTCCTTGGCGAGTACAATGAGAGAACTTGCCTTGGGCTTCTAGAATCAGGGCTTTGGGCGATGGCGATGGCGATGGCGATAGTTTGCGCATGTGGACCAATAGTGGTAATAAAATACATTATGATTATAATTATGACGAACAATTTAGTTTTGGGTTTTCCGTCATCTTTCCAGAAGCTGGGGAACGAGGAAAAGGGGCAGCAAAATACGTAGATGATGGTAGCCAGGATGATCAAGTTCAACAACATGAACAGGAAAAGTAATTGCATTATCATTCAAGGGTATTATCCTAACTAAGAAGGGGAGGCAGGTAAAAGGTAAAAAAAAATAATGGGGGCGTTGATCGAAACAGCAGTCATGGGAGACGTGGTGTTCAGAGAGCGCTATGAAGCTTGCCTGCGAGCTCCACATACCTAGGCCAGGTATTTGTGAAAACAAGGTACTTGATGCTGTCATATGCAGCGTCGAAAATTTCGTCTGTAAATTCACTCGGTACTATGCTCTTTGTACTCGAGGTGGATGATGATGTCGTGTCGCTTTGGATACTTGTCGGGCGGCTGAACGTGTCTTCCCACGGGCACACGACGTTTTCCCTGAAGACGGGTGATTGAACATCATCAGGCGTTTTGCAGCGCGGCATATATGGATCGAATTCTACTTCTGCGAAGACGGCTTGCAGCGTCTTGAAGATCTTGTATTCGATGTTGATGGCCATCTCGGCGGTAAACGGGTTGACGAGCGTGAAGAAGATGAGGGATGCTTCGTTGAACATTTGGCGGCGTTGCGCTGTAGTGACGACCTTTAGCCCAGCCCATTTTCTCCTAAAGTTGCGCACTTCGCGCAGGAAGATACAGTTCTCGGCTGTAAACTCGCGGGCTGCGGCCCAGGCAATGAGAGGCTCAATGCTGTGTTCGATACTGAATTCCAGCGCTTGCATAGATACTTTGGTTCTGGCAGATTTGTCGAGGCTCTCAATTGGCGACTTTTCGATCAGAATGGGCCGTGAAGATTTGAAAGAATCGGTTTCGGAGATTGAAGAGCGACGGTAAGGCTGCATCTTCAGTGCGTCACGGAGAGGAATGATGATCAAGACTTGTTGGCAAACTATCAGTGATGGTATGAACCTATTTGGTAGAGTTAGTGTCAAGATCAAAGCACTATGGGCAAACCCGAAACTTACCATCCAGCTGGCGCGAAGAATCTATTGACGCTTGTAGCGATCTCCATGTTTGAGTATGTAAAGGCAATCCAAAGTGGCGTTCCTGGTAGGCTACAGAGTGTAAGTAATTTGAGTAAGGAGTAGGGAAACTAAACATACCCAGCAATGATGGCAAGTCTTGTTTGCCAGGCCCACGAATGAACATCTCTGATATCGCGAATCTTCCAAAGAATCCAAGGACCCACAAGCATCGTCCAGAATAGCTGAACGAAAATCGATGGAATCCTGCACTATGATTAGTTCAGCTGTCCATCTTTTCGCAAACACGTCACATACCATTCACCCCCTCGACGGCACTTGTGGAAGTCTGTAGCCATTCCAAAGAAGCCGTAGGACGCATGAAAACGGCGCGAACCGAAGAACAATATAATGGCAGGAATAAACTGTACCGGTTAGCGCAAAATATATGTGATTTAAGCAAGCAGCTCTTACTGAAATTGCTAATCCAGCCAAGGTACCAAAGTACACCTTCTTTGCGGCATCAAGATCGCGCCACGCTTCGTATAGCCCACGGGGGGTGTATGAGATGCGCTTCTTGCGCGCTCCTTCAAGGAAGTTGCGCGTCAACCGATTCTGCCTCTCATAGACTGTGAGAACCTTTGCATTGCAAGCTATGAAGCGTTAGTAAAGACTTATGGCTGTAAGCTAAAGTTACTCACCCTGGAAGAATGCCATGCCAGATGGAAGGAAGACAGACATGATCCAGAATTCGGCTGAGCATGGAAAGAAGCCATTCCAAGGATATACAAAGAGGACAATACTGAGATACACATGGAGCATGCAAACTGCTGCGAAAAGCACTTTGATGTTTCGGAGTTGTATGCAGAATGCATCACGTCGTCGATATAAAAAGTAGAGTTCTGCAGATAGTATGATGGTGTAGAATATGGCGAAGACCATGTAGCCTATCCCAAGGGCGTCCATGTTCATTCTCCTCTCGCCATCTAGCGCTCGTGGGCGCATGACGGCTGCCATGACGACCAGGCTGTAGGGGTGCTGAGTAAGTGTGATAGTTTCGACTGAATAGTTTCGACTGATAGTGAGCGAGGTATGAAGATTTGAAGACTCGGATCCCCCCTCTTACTTAATGGAACGAATGTGGAGACGTGTTGCTCAGAGAACTGATTTCAACAGGTACCGAGTACACGGCCCAAGTCATGCAACGGGCCGCAGGGTGAAGAAAGCGACATACGACTGCAGAAGGCGGGAAGGCGGTAGAAGGACTGAGTTTGACGCGCACATGGGCCTGTTCTGGCTAAGAGGGCCAGCGGGATGTGTTTGGACATGGCTCAGTGGCCTCAGTCATAAGCGCTTACTCGAAACTGGTAAAGACGGATGCTGCTCAGCCAGAACGATTGTATGTTGTTGGTGTAACAGAAGGGATGCGCATCCGCTGCATGGAGAGACGTGCAAACGCTGCATGCCGGTAATTGTCACAAGGCCCAACGTGCAAAGAGAGGCTGCTACCTTGTCCTATTGCTACCGCTACAAGAAGAGACAAGGCTAATTGGAACCGCTGGATGCATTGGTCAGCTTGCGGTATCTGTATATTTTGAAAACAGCAAGATGATTGGACGGAAATGCTGAGCATGGTGCACCTGGGTGTGTGGCTCTCGTTTGTCTTGGATCATCGCGTCCCAGTTCAGACGTCGGAGGTTTCAAGAAGCTCCAGGAACCCCAGGAACCACTGTCGACTATCACCCCCGCACTGCGTCTACGGTTTAACGGGCTCGGATGCATCGTTGCACTACTGGATTTCGCCGCTTTGACCTAAGCTACAGGTAATCCGAAATCCTCTCGCTAGGAACTCCTCTGTTCAACAAGCGTGCTGTTAATATTGGCCGACATCACCCCGAACATCACCACGGCATCCATGGCACACTGCATCGCCGTATGCGCTAACAGTCACGACTTCGGCAGCCTACATAGCACTTATTGATGCAAATCGGCTTTTATTGTACGGAATATCTATGCCGCTCAGTAGTTTCAGTTTCGATTGTACCTCTCTCTCCATTAACCGGCAGAAAGTCTGACATTCATGCGTTCGTTGACCCTTCGCAATTCCGGAACATTGAAAACACAACTCTACGTCAAGTTGGGTTCAAAACTCCTGTCAGTCTTGAGATGGTTTCAAGTCCGATCTGATGGGAATCTGACGGAATTCTTCTCGCCGAGATGTCATCGCGTCTGTCAAAACCGTCATTGGACGTGGCATCCTCGTTGGGACTTCACCTGCCTTTTCAGGCCGTGCAGAGGATTGTGGCGATCCCTGAACACCGAGGCATACTACATTTCAGATGGCTATAGGTGTTCGGTTCAAAGAACCGTGTTGTGTGACAAGGTGTTCAATGACGCTGTACTACAAATGGAACCACGCCGGTTGGCTCAAACCTCTTGAGTGACTTGAGATAGTTATGCCTTTCGCAGGAAGGTCACATCTTCAGATCTTTCCCGCACATGTAACGATGGTTGCCTGAACATCGATGCAGCAACATTCAGGAGACTGATAAGATATGCACCCACCTTGAATGTATATTCACATATGCGGGGTTATGAAAGTCTTGCTCAACTTTGTGCAACCCTCGAAGCCAGTCAATCTTGAATTATGATATGAGCACATAATACCCTACGGCTTTCTGCATATACCCGTCAATCCGCGTTTCGCCCACGAACTGCGTGACATAGACGAAGTGATTGTATGATCTCTTAACGAAGATTAATAATGGGTTCGAGACAGCCATGTACGGTAGCATCAGCAAACTTATTGTACCGTCCAATGGGACCTAACTAGTCGTGTATACGCAATTCCATTCGATGCATGGGAATCTGTGGAGAAAAGCGAGTCACACTCTTCCGCCAATGTCGTAGGTCAAATGCAACTACACAGAAGTGATAATCAAGATGACTTGACATAGCTGGGTCAGGGGTCTTCTTTCTACCGTCACTTCGTGCTGAGATTGTGATTAAGAACAGATTGGAGTGCTCAATCCCGCACCTATTTGACTTGGCTGAGCGACTCGACAGACGCACATTATCAATACGTTTAAGATTAGGGACTGCTGTTAGTATCTTCAACAAGGCAGCTACAGAAGAGCCCATTACTAATACATGCACCCCTCTTGGAAATGCGATCCTGTCCTCCAACTTCGACCATGGTTAGACGGTGACAAGACCACATCAACCACAGTTGAGAAAATGCATAGCAATAAACATTTGCATCTGTAGCTGTCTATGAATAATATATACCCAGTAACTCCCTTCCAAGCCTCTCAGAACATACACACAATCTCCAAGATAGTCACATATCCAACATACCCAAGATATTCCACCAAACCCACGTGACTCCTAAAATGTCTTCATCACAGCCTTACAGACTATTTTCACCACACCCTTCCAAACTACCTGGCTCCTATATCCGGAATCGCCTCCCCTCCACCAAATTCCTCACTAAACAGAATTTACGCAACAACCTAGCCCAGGCATGGTCCGCACGTCGAAAACGGATCCTCCTGACCGTCATCTCATCCTGCCAAACTAGCATAGCCTTCACCGCAGCCAGTTACTACAACGCCGTTCCCTCACTAAACACACACTTTGGCGTCAAAAATTCTCAACTAGGAATGACATCGTTCTTGATCTCGCAAGCGGTCGGATGCAGGCTCTGGCGCCCATTTTCAGACGACATGGGTCGTAAGTCAGTCACGCGGGCCTCACTTGGTCTGACCAATATGTCCGTTCTGGTGTGCGTTTTGTCAAAGAGCTTTGGTGGAGTCATTGGAGGGAGGATTGTTGGCGGGCTATCTTCAGCTGGGTGCGACGTAAATATGAGAACCATCCAGGATATGTTTGACGAGGACAAGCAGTTCTGCGCCGTCTTGTGGGCATCTCTCTTTATCTGTCTTGGCACTGTCCTTGCTGGCGTTGCTGGAGGCGCGGTTCAACAGTTCCTTGACTGGCGATCTACCTTTTGGCTTCAGCTCATTCTTGGGGTAGCTACACAGTTGCTCCACTGGCTGTTTACGGAAGAGATGCGGGCGTCGGTTCTGCTGGATCGTGAAGCGAAAAGGCAAAGAGAGGAGGGCAGCACGAATGTCTATGGACCCAATTACGACAAAGTCTGGATGGAAATATTTCCATTTCACAAATGGGTCATGGCGATGTTCCAGCCATACGAGATGATCACCTCCGAGCCTATCACCCTACTCTTCGCTCTGCTGAGCGGCTACATCGATACCCTCATCTTTTCCTACTTTGAGAGGTACAGCTATATCCTCAAGCAGTGGTCTTTTACACCTACGAGCATTTCCTTCATTCTTATCGCATTGGCGACCTCGTGTGTGTTGGGTTACTTTACCTTCTTCCCTTTTGTCAGTAACCGCAACGCGCGACGCACTAAAGGCGAAAATCTGGTTCCCAGGACTCGCCTCGATTGTCCTCTGTGCTATATCATCTGCCTTCCACACGGTCTAGTCATTTGCGCTTTTCTCATAGCAGGACCGCCGCTCCACTGGTTTGGTGTAGTTGTCGCGTCTGTTCTGGTTGGAATCGCCAACATCTGGTTGTGTGTGGCTTTGCTGTTTCATTTTGTATACCGGTACACGTCCCGTACTTTAGGGGCCCGCAAGTCCGCATCAAATCCAAATTTGCAGGATATTCAAAAGCCAGAAGTTGCAGTGCCAATGAAAGGAGGACTTTGGGATGAAGCAGTGCTGTACATAGTCGGATTGTTAGGATACTAGGGCGGTTCGGGCATTTCAATGAGTGCAGGCGCAGATAATCAGCATGTATATACATGATCCAGACGATTAGAAAAAATCTAAAATGATCATTTCCTTGAACGTAACCGACCAGAGAACGATTTTAGTGTGTTTCCGATGCTTGTGGATATAGTGTACGTCATGGTAACATAAGCGACGTCCCTATCGAGCTTCCGACAACTTCCAACCTTACACCATCTAGGATACAACATCATGTCATTGACTGTAATGCAAGAATCTATCCTTGTGTGGATCTTTGTAGTGTCTGAGCTTAAAATGTAGTCTACGCACTGCTGAACCCACGGCTCAAATCTAAAAATCTCTCATTTCATCCCAGCATTTCACACAGTTCTACGCACAAATATGGCCCAGGCAAAACCCAAGAACATCGTCATCGTAGGAGGCTCACTAGGCGGTCTCATGGCTGGAGTTGCATTGAAGCGTCTGAGAAAAGACCTCAACATCCGCATCTTCGAGCGCAACCCAACGCCCCTTCTCCAAGACCAAGGCGCAGGTGTTGTAGCCGGCCGAGAAGTGCAAAAGTTCTTCGAAACCCACGACCGGACCAATACACCACTAACAGTCCCAAGCTACCAGCGGCAATATCTCGACAAACAAGGCAAAATAATCAGCCGCCACGACCAAGACCAACACATGACAAGCTGGGACCTCCTCTACCACCTCCTCCGCACAAACTACGACGGCACAAAAACCGACTACGCTACAGTCCCCACCCCAGAACCCGGCGAAGGAAGCACATCCTACGAATACGGCTGCACAGTCACAAGCGTAGACGTCTCATCCCCAGACTTGTCCACCCCCGTCCAAATATCCTACACCCACACCTCCGGCAAATCGCACACCACCCCCGCAGACCTCGTCCTCGCCGCCGACGGCCCCAGCTCCCAAATCCGCACTTCCTACTTCTCCTCCACCACACGAACCTACGCCGGCTACATAGCCTGGCGCGGCACCCTACCCGAGTCCTCTCTCTCAGCTACAACCCACTCCCTCTTCACTAACACCTTCACCTTCTTCCATGCCCCTGGTACCCAAATCCTCGCTTACACGATTCCCGGTGCACATGGCACTACGGAACCAGGAAGCAGATTGTTAAATTGGGTCTGGTACGTTAACGCTCCCGAAGATTCGACTGAGCATGAGGAAGTGATGACGGATGTACATGGGAAGAAACATCATATCACGCTTCCTCCTGGCGGTATCAATCTGGGGGTTTGGGAACTTCAGAAGAAGAGGGCCAAAGAGATGTTGCCGCCGCAGTTTGCGGAGGTGGTACGTGGAACGGAGGTTCCGTTTGTGCAGGCGATTACGGATGTGATTGCGCCGGCGGCGGTGTTGGAGGGAGGAAGAGTGCTGTTGCTGGGTGATGCGCTTGCAGGGTTTCGGCCGCATACGGCGGCGAGTACAAATCAGGCGGCGCTGGATGCTATGGCGCTGGCTGGGGCGGTGGAGCGCTTGTTGGGAGGGAAGATGGAGGCGCTGGAGGAGTGGGAGGCGGAGGTTATGCGGTATGCGGTTGAGATGCAGCGACGGGGGGTGGAGATCGGGGATAAGAGTCAGTTTGGGGAGCATGAGATGCAGAGATAGAGAAGATGTTGTTTGGTCTAGTTTGGGATATTTTTGTACAGTAAATACACATTTACATGGAATGATGATCCCAGACTCCTGTGCGTTAAGATGAATAGCAGTGGTTATTAATTTCTTTCAAGCCCCGCGTTGTCTATACCGAAACACCTGTCTGTCTAATCTTCAGCAGCATCCGCCTCTAACTCATCCGGTCCTAATTCCTCCCTTGCGCCTCCAACGTCACACTCGTGAATAATCTTTTTCCAACCCAGGGGTTCCGATGGATCTTTGATGTGCTCAATGGTAGGGAAGTAGTGCTCGTTCTTTTTCATGGTAGCGACCCAGGGGACGTTGTCAAAGGTCATGACTTTCATACGGAAATACTCGTTATCCTTGATTTTCTTAATTTCAGCAAGGAAGGCGGAGAGATTGGGTGTTGGGACATTGTTGACGTGTGTGACGAAGTTTGTAGGTGCGAGCTATTGATACTGATTAGCAAAAGAAGATGGAGAATGAGAAGGCAGCAAACTTACCCCGTACATATACGCTGGTGAGCCACGGGCCCGCGAGGAAATGTAGACGTCTGAGTGGATTTTGCTGATTTGCTGACGCACGGCTTGGTGAGGACGGTGGAAGGTGGCGCCACAGAAGCTGACCAGGCGGTCAGTCTCGAGGTCCTCGGTTGGGACCGTCGAGACCTTGATGGTCTTTTCTTCGCGTTTGCGCACAATGACTGCGTCAAGGACTTCGTTGTTGTACATGACATCAAGATCCGGAGAGCGGGTTACGAGCTTGCCGTTGAGCGTCAAGAGGACGTCACCCTCATGAAGACCGTCGCTGTGGCCCGAATCGACCTTTCGGACCATGAACAGCTGATGGCGCTCTGGATCGGCTGTTTCTGTCTTTTCGATCCATTCCTCTGAAACACCCATGACGCGGGCTTGGCTCATCTGGACTGTCTGGAATTCAACGTTCAAGATGCGAAGCTTTGGAGTCTTGCCGCTTCGGATCTCGTTGAGTACTGGAAGAAGGTTGGGTGTCGCAAGACCGAGATGGTATTCGACGTCCTTGCCACTATGCGAAGTTCGTTCACCCAAGTATGAAAGCCAGAGAGCCTGGACAGTGCCATCCTCGGCAATAAGCACACCAGAGCCACTATGCGAAGCCTGGTTCGTGTCTACAGTGATGGCATCAAAATTGGTCGCGCGATACCGCGGCGTGATTGCACTAGCCGGGATAGCAACAGTGGTAATATCCGTGACAACCGTCTTAGCCACAACAGGTCGGAAGTTTTGGTTGATACCAAAGAAAATCGTCTCAGCACCCTTCTTGATGAAATCCGTTGCGAACTTGGGAGTCTTCACGGGTGCATTGACTAGCGAGGCATCGTACTTGACAATGGCATAGTTCTGTAACGGGTGCATGAAGACAACCTTTGCATCAACAAAAATGCTATCGGCGATGATCAAGGATATATCGCACAGGTCGTAGGGCAGGATTGCTCTCGAAACAAGGACCAGACCCTGGTCGGCATCAACCACAAGACCATAGCCCTGCTTGTTCAACTTGGGGAAGCCGTCAAGCTTGATGGGCATGGAGACGTGCACGCGTACAAAACTGCGGACAATGTCTACAGCCTCTGGATAACTAGAGCTCATCTTGACAAAGTTGGCACGGCGTGGAACTGGAGGCACAGGTGGTATGGCATCGGCAAGTGGGCTAAAGTCCCACAAGCCAGTCGTATCATTACGAGTTGCTACCCGAATCTTTGCGTGCCAATGCCTATCGATTGCAGTAATGCTGGTGTTTGCAGTGTGCAGATCGCGCAGGTGCTTGTACATCATGACGACTCGCTTGCGGTCAGGGATCTTCTTCATGACTTGAATGAAGGTGTCTAGATCTGGTGTTGGCTGATTGTCAACTTCTTGAATCAGCCAGCCAGAAGTGTAGCCATCGGCAAATCTGAATGAGCCAGCTGCCTCACACACGTACACACCTGCGCCCTTGAGTGAGATGGCGTAGAGACGAGCTTGTTGATACGAGAGGTCGTGGAACGAAGCACCTGCAACAGAAACAAACTTGTCGGGAGTAATGGCATGGAGATCGCCGACGTCAATCTCAACGTCCATGTTCTCTCCTGCACGCTGAATGGTCACAGAAATGGTTTGGCCCACGTGTTCATCCAGGATTGCATCGAGACGGACAAACTGTGTAAGTAGCTCTCCGTTGACGCGGAGCAGGAGATCACCCTCTTCGACCTTGTTCGATGCAGGGCCTTGGGGGAGGACAACCTCGGCAACCAGCATGCCCGTTTCTTTGGGGAACTGAGTGCGGATATCCTTTTCAAGTTCAGCTGAGAGACCCAGTCGCCGACACTCGTCGAAGGGCTTGAGTATCCACTGCGTCTGGATAGTGCCTCTGGTGACGTGTTTGCCTTGGCGGATCAGCTCGAGCGCGCGCAAAGGACGGTCCAGTGGCAGAAAGTAGTCGGTCGCAGCACCGTCAGCGCGTCCGCCCGCCTGCAGCGCAACGGCATATCCGTCGCGGTCGACTACGGGACTGCCCGAAGAACCTCCGCTAGCGGCAGCGGCAGCCTGTATGTAGTTTGTGTTGAAGTCGGAGTAGCCCTCGCCGTACTCGGGCGCGTTGCGATCCAGTCGGCTAATGACACCAGACAGAATACTCAGCTTCTCGCCAGCGTCGTTACCGACCACGCGAATCTCAACACCGACCTTTGCATTATCTGGGCGCAGCTTGAGGGCGGTGACGGGCATGTAGCGAATCTTTGAGGGGTCGAAGCGCAGGATACCGAAGTCGTGGACGGGATCGCGGTAGACGGGGTGGACGTCGCACTCCTCATGGTTGTCGAAGATGCAGTAGCCGATAAAGGGCCCAGCGCCTACGACATGTCTGTTTGTGAGGATATAGCCCTGTTCGGCATCGACGACGAAGCCCGTGGCCTCTGAGCTAACGGCGGGATCTGTGTCAAAGGAGCATGTCTGGCAAAAGTGAATCGAGACGACGCTTTTAACCACGTTCTCGATAGTCTTCTGCCACTCAGCCGTGTCGGGTCCGGAGGCGGAAGCGGCAACGTGAGCAGACGGCGGCAGGTCGTCGGCGGCGCTGTATTCGCTGGGGGCGTCTTCCATGGTGTCGTCGTGGCCGTTTGTCACGTGTGCAAAGGGTTCGGGCTTGATGTGCTTGAGGGGGCGGTCGGTGGCGGGCGAAGTTGGGGGTTGCTTGCGCTTGACGGAGCCATTGTGGTCCATTTGCGGCGGTGGGTGGAGCAGGCGGCGGGCGCAGGCGAGCACAGTAGTACTGGGCAGCCTGGTAAGCGGGCGCGCGTGAAAAAGAGCGAGTGGTGGTCGTCTGGTTGCGCAGAGAGTTTTTGTGCAGGCGGCGACAGAGACTCGGCCAAGCAGCATGCCAGCCTGGGGTCAGTTTGCAGAGGCTGACGCTGAGGCGGACGACGAGGACGCAGACGACACACGGCACGCACGGCTCGAGGGACTCAGGCGGCCAGACAGTGCCAGTGCTGCTGCTACTGCTGCCAATTGCACACGAAGAAACCGGGAGAGAGCACACGCACAAGGGAGTGCAGGCGACGGTGAGGACGGAATGGCCGCTGGCTGCATGCAACAAGACATGCTACTAGTAAGTAGTACGTAGTTTGCGCATCCGCCCCCTGCTCGCCGCCCGCCGCTGCGCCATGACTCAGCATATGCAGTATTACCTAATGCTGCATCCGCCCTGCATCACCGCTCTTGCACCCGTCTTCCACTATGCTTGGTTCATTCATTCATTAACTATTCCATTGTTTTCATCGATCCATCCCACTATGCGCCCTCTGGCAGTCCCGACTCCATATCGCCAGAACAAGCAACAAGCATGCTACTTTTCAATAGAACAAAGACCGTTAGATGTCTCTGCATACATGGACGCACCCCACTATTAACACCCACCTCTCGTTGAGGCTATCGCAATCGACTTATCAGACCCCTACAGGAGACAAAGTAGCCTAAGAAGCCCTCATCCATCAAGGCCCTGTCCAAGCTCCGAGTCACCTACTCAGGAATCTCCTCCTCAGGAATTTCCTCCTTAATCAAGAGTTTGGCACCAACACTGCTCTTATTCTTGTTCTTCTTAGGCGTGCCCTCGTTAGAACCATTCTCCTCGTCATCGCCGTTCTTGTTCTTGCGCTTGTTCGTGGTCTGGCCGTTGCTAATCTTCGATTTCTTCATACGAGCAATCTCCTGCTTGAACTGCTCCTCAAGACGCTCGATCATTCTCCTGCAAGCGATGTCACTCCGACCAGCTAGCTTAGGCGCATTCTGTAATATCGAGTTAGTACGTGAGCGCATAGATGTTAGCCACACTTCTTACATCGATCTTGGCTTTGAGTCCGCCCTCATGCCCGCACAGGACAACGAGGTACGCCAACTATGTATTGACTTGTCAGCTAGCGCTAGTGTGCATGGGTGCAGCCTTCTTACCTTCTCGTCATCAGTCCACTTCTTACCGCTCACGTCTGTCTCACTTGACTCGTTCTTGGTAGCAGGCATGGTGTTGGGTTAGTGTCGACTTGGTATTGACTTGATGTAGGAAATTGCTGTTGCGATAAGCTGTTGCCGTTGGCGCCAGGTAGACTATGGTAGAGAGTAGCCAGAAGAGAGAACGTGATAGCAAGATATAAGAAGGATGTGAACTTCAAGGCTACTTTAAAGTAGTGCTGAACATAACCATGAAGGTATATTCGATGCCCTGGAAGGTGAGTTCAACAAAGCCGCCTAGGTAGCTTACACCTTAGAAAGCCTCAAACCATTAACGATCGTGAGGACCTCAGTCTTGACTAGGCAAGACGAAAATACTATAGAATCTAGAAATTACTGAAACTTCAAAGAACCAAATCCAAAGTAGCTTAGCAAATTACATCAATTACTTACGGATATGATCAGCGGGCCGCTCCAGGAACAATTAAAACTACTTTTGCCGTCTCGCGTATAGGGAGGTAGATACAGTTGTCTCGCACCCATCTCTCAGTGCTATCCTGTCTCTCGCAGGCTAGCCCACCAAAACGAGCCACTTTTACCACGAGACATTACCACCATCATAATTCTATTCTAAACAAAAATTCGATAAGATAGACTCGCTAACTATAAATTTAATATACCGAAGTGCTTATCAGGTACATTACTTGCAGTGGTGTTACCGTAGCAATAAAGCATTCAAGCGGGCTTTATGCTGTCGTTATTGCTGGGCGATTTTGATTATCTCTGACTTTACTAGGTGACTGAGAGCCTATGTTATGGTTCCATCCGATGGGGAATAGCGCCTTGGCACTCACATAGGTATATGTAGCTGCCTCTTTGGATACACTATGGAATCAACCTCTCAGACACTTCAAATTTGTCCACTGCCTGGGCCACATCGGCACGACACCTGGTAGCTACTCTTTTTTGGTCCGACACGGCGTCGGTGCCTCCCTCCCTCGCACGGCACAATCTCGGACAATCCCGGTACCATCACGGTCTAGCCGACGAAGCCCAGCCGCGGCATTCAATCTATATCTACCCCACATCACACCGTCGATCATATCGTTTGAGTGGCTGTGATCCTAGAAGCCAGTTTACCCTGGAGTCCTGGAACCCCACTCACCGCAAACGAGAAGCGTTCAGCGAAGCTGAACGTACGGTCGCCTACCGCTAATACACGCCACCCCTAAAGACGGGCATTGGCAAAAGAGAGCCAACGAGCCTAGGTATCGACCCCCAGAGAGCGCGAGGCTCATCTCCTTGACTACTGCCCCCAAAGGAAGGATTCGAGCGACCTCGTTATGCAGAAAGACTCCGACAGCCAAATTCCTAAACACGGAGCAACGGCAGAAACATGGGGTGGATTTCGAAGAACTTAAGGACCGACTCTGCAACACACACGTTCTGGCACACCCATGTTCCAGTCTCCGCTTATCTTCTACGCGGATGGCAGTTTAGAGCGATGCTTTGTGTATCCGGTGCATCAAATGGACCTCACCGACCCTGACAAGCCTGTCGAACGACTAGTCCTATATCTCTCCAAAGGCACTTTCCCCCACCAAATCTTGATACTGGCTCCTCATCACCGGCAGCTTTCCAACAGACAAGACTCATTCAGACTCCTCTATCGCATCTCCCATCGCGACAGGGCTACAGCATGCCAGTCGGACATACCCAAGCATGAGCCATTCAAGCAGTTTCTACACGGCCGATCAGCCATTCACAATCACGCCGAAGGAAGACTGAGGCTAGCCCAATCCCACACGACCGTATACCACGACCGGCAACTTGGTTCATTTAACACTCACTGGGAGAACCAATTACGAGCACTATATCACGCACATGTCCTCGCTAGACATCATCAAGATTGGCCCGTTTGAGGTGATAGAAAAGATTGACGAATACACTCTCTGCCTTCAGCCCCCAGAAAGTTTCAGATTTCACTCCGTCATTTCAGCTATCTGCCTAGAGCTTGCCGTCGCCGATCCATATCAACGTACGCCAGCCGTCGACGGCGAGGTCGTGAAGACTGCAGATGACTCTTTGGTCCTTGAATCACAACTGAGAGAGGATATCTCTGAAACAGTGGAGGCTTGGGAGCATCGTTTTGGTATTCACCGTACCACTCGAAGCTCCCTCCAACCTACTAAAGTAAGGGTATGATATCTGATCCAGTTGCCTGACAAGCTTTCGGCGCCTCTTTGCGAGCGCAATGCCCCTCTTTACGAGCGCAGTACCCATAAACGAGGTTTTACTCAACACCATCACATGAATGATATCACACACCACCATCCTCCGACAACAACCTGCTACCTCACACGACAGCTTCGTCAGATTTCGACTTTTTTTTTCAGCAATCGTCTTTCACTGCTGAAAACTCTGCAGTTGTGACGTCAACGGCCGTTTGCTGCCTTGACGCAGACTCACAGTGAAGGCAGGAGTGCTAAGACCAACCCCTCATATTTGTTGACAGCGACTCACTCACTTCTTCCCACAACACCACACACACTGATTGCAAAATACCCCACCACTGCAGTTACTCTCTTTACCAATTCTCTTCTCGTTACCAACCACTCTGCTATCTACTCTTTCATCATGGGCCAATACGACGAGCTTGGTCAGTCCAAGGCAGCGCTTATCAAGCTCGCCAACACCAAGATCAATCAGGTCAACGGCCACACTACCTTGTGGACCGGCACCTTGAAAGAGACTTCCGATGCAGAAACCTCGGATTTCAAGCCCAGCAGCTACTATGGTGACTACCAGATTGGTCCCGCTGAGCGCTCCGAGTTCCATGAACATGAGCGTCCCATTGCCGTCTGTTTCTCTGTTCCCGAGTCAGTCACAAACCTCTCAGACTCTTTCACTCTCACTGCACTTGACATCAACCCCGCCATTGCTCTCCTCACTGAGAAAGAGTATGGCGAATACCAGGCTGAGCTTCACAAGCGAAAGCAGAAGTTAGCTGCGGCAGCCTCCGCCAAAGCTGGAGCCGCCACTGAGGAAGAGTCTCATGTTAAGGAAGAGACCTCCTCTGATACCCCTCTCAACGACTCACAGGCCAACCAAGAGCCAGAGTTGGATGCATCCACTCCCCGCTACACTCCCACTGACAGCAACATCTTCGTAGCCGCCAATCTGATCATAGACGCTCAGCCCGAAGAGTACACTCCTTTCTCGAAGGCAAAAGCGGACAAGGTCCGGGAGTGTATGCGTCGAGAGATGCACTGGAACATCAGCAAGGAGCGCATCCGCAAACTTCTCCTCTCTCGCTCCCGCTACGTTGCCATGGGAGAGATCTCCGTTGATACCATCGCCGCCGCATGGGGCGATCTCAAAGAAGACCCCAAGGAAGACCTGCTGCCAGTCCGCATCGTCAAAGGCGAGGCTGCCGACAAGGCGGACTTGACCCCCGAACAGGAGGCCGCTCTCAAACAAGAGAGGGAAGACAAGAAGAAAGCCGACCGTCTTGTATTGAAGCGTCTTGCCCCTCCGAAGCCCCATCTGTTCCATAAGGTGATAGCTTACGAGAACTTCGAGCAGAAAGAAGGGGTGAAGGCCAAGATCACGTTCCATGAAGACCCCAACGACCGCTCCTACATGCGTCTCCGCTTCTCTCTCCTATACAAGGACGAGCAGCGCAAGATGCAGCAACCTAAGCACAAGTTGGACATTGACCTCACGTACCGCAATACCCGCCCTCGCGGTGAGCTCCCGAAAGCCTTCGCCGACACCTACAAGCCAACTGAGCGCATCATTGACGTCTCGAATCATCGCTTCATCCCCTTGCTTGATAAGCTCTTCCCGCACCTTGCCCGCGACAATATGGAGTACTGGGCCCAGTGCTACAAGTCCCTGGTAGGCGGTTACAAACTCTACTTGTTGGCGTTTCGTCAAAATGAACTACCCATGACCAACCACCTGTTCACCTCCCGTACAGATATGCCGGCAAAGTATTACGACCTTCAGATTGTCATGCGTGAGGCTCCATTCGTCTACATCCTGATTCGTGGAACTGACATCGATGGCATCGCTGGCTCTATCGTCAACCGTTTTTACGACCTCGCTTTATACGACCCTCTGTCCAAGTTTTTCGTTGACGTCGAGAACCCGTATATCAACAACAAGGGGATCAAGGATACCGCATCACTTCCCAAATTCATCACCTTGCCTGAGAACTCCTTCGAAGACTGGAACGAATACGCCATCCACTGTGGCGTCGGCACTATCATCGAACTCCGTCACACTATGGGTACTCACTACTATCGAGGCAAAGCATCAGTGCTTCCCGTTCCGCATACCCAGTTGAAGCATGGAGGCAAGGTCACCGACTGCAGCTACTATGTCAACTTCAATCAAGAGCGCTCTGAACAAGACTTGCCGCGCCTTACCATCGACGATCATGTCAGTATTGATTTCAAGCCCGAGGACATAACACGAGAAATCCTTTGGAAGGGTCGAGTGGTTCAGCCTACCATGTCTACTGGTATCGGTCAGGTATGCCTGGTTGCAGATCGACCGATCGACCCAACGGGATGCATGCTCGACAAAGAATCTTACTCCACTCTCTCTGCCACCGAAATGGACTCTATGACGTTTGAGCAACTTCGCGCATGGGCCGCAGATAACCAGACCCTGACAATCACCCTTATCAAGAAGGATGACGAGAAGGAATGCAAGCGCATGTGCAATGGCTTGAGCAATATGAAGGTCGCCCTCAAGAAGCAGGAGGAATTTCCGATCAAGACGCACACTTTGTCCCAGCTCCGCACCTTCTTGATGTGCAAAGACCATGCGCAGTACGACATGCATTCCCTGTTCGAGACTATTCACGATTATGACAAGCAGGCCTTCGTCCCCTTACTGAGGTCATCCCTCCTTGACTACCAGAACGTTCCCGTGGCTCATTGGGAAGATGAGGGAGTCACTGCGAGCATCATCGTCCTCGGAGGTGTATCAGGCTCTGGCAAGACCTATACTAGCATCAGCATTCTCTGTGGTTACACGCTCCGTATCAAGGTACACAGTCACAAGGCAGTTGAGCAAGAGCGTGACCTCTATTATCTGCTCAAGTCGAATACCAAGGCAAAGGCAGAGCCGACTGCTAAGCCCGCCGCCACTTCCGCCAACGACCCTGCCGATCCCTCCACCAACCCTACCGATCCCGCCCCCGATACCCCCGAGCAAAAGAAAGGAGATGACAACACTGGCGACGATGATCGCACCGTCAATGATGATGCTGATTCAGTACATGAAGACGACCTAAATGATCCTGAGCCCATTAAGTTTCCCGAAACTCCCGAAGACGAGGAGTTCATCGATGACGGTCGAGTCACGCATGTCAGCGTCCAGAACGAGACGGTCGACCACAACTATGAGATGTGGTGCAAGATACTCAATGCTTTTTGCGACAACATGAACATCCCCAAAAAGCTCATTGTCCGAATGCACTCAATACAGTCAGAACTTCAAGCCCTAACAGCCATGATCGATCTAAGCCACCAAGATATGGAAGAGAATGTCCCATCTCATATGTTGCACAACCCTGACCTGGTGGGCGTGGCCAGTGAGGCTTTGAAGGAGCATTACCTCCGCGCCATGAGCACCACCTTCCCCGGTATCACTGACAAGCGTTTCCGCATGATGAATGGATCGCTTGCATATGTGGTGTTGCAGCTAGCGAACTTCGACGGGTTCCCCATGACACAGGAAGTCACTAATACATGGTCGGACCAAGAGCGTGTGGACATTGCCAAGGAGCTCCGACCCATCATCAACGCATACCTTGCCATAAACATTGAGGGTCATATGAGTCCTAAAACCTCTATGGATATGAAAAAGGCCTTCAAGTTTGGTTATAAGACTGTCGTACAACGCGCTTCGGTCATCTGCTGCACCCTGTCCGTAGCTACGACAAGCAGCTTTCAGATTCACCGACGCACACATGCTGTCGCTCTGGAGGAAGCTGGTCGAGCCATTGATGCCAACATTGCTGCCCTCCTGTCAACACATTGGGCATGCGACCTCATCATGTTGGTCGGTGACGCACGACAGCTCAGCTTCACTCCGTTTGGACCACAGCTTGATAACCCCTTCCAAGCTCAGCTGTCGCGCTCTCCTCTCGCTAGGCTCAACATGACAGGGTTTCCCGTACAGGACCTCGTCTATACTTCACGCTTTACTAGTCAAGCACTCCTTGACCTGTGCGCGCACCTCAACAACGAGCCCAAGCTGCAAGAAGTTCCCAGGGCTTTCAACAAAGCTGCTGAGATCCAAGCCAAGACAGTCAACTTTCTCATTTGGGGAAAAAAGAGCGAGATTGTGGTCATCAACACCAAGACTGCGGTGGCCTCCCGTGATGCCAATGGATCATGGTACTGCAAGGAGACTGCGCTCGTAACCATCCACGACATGATCAACCGTGTGCGACATATCCCCGGTGAAGAATTGATGATCATCATACCCTACAATGCTCAGGTACAAGTTCTCAATGCCATGCGAGACAGTGCTATGCGGAAGGCATATACCGCAAACCAGCGCGACCTAGCAGAGCGACTGTCCCAAGTCATGATCATCATAGTAGACTCCTCTATGGGCAAGGACCGCCCTCATGTGATTCTAGACACTGTCGGAAATGGCGAAGGTTTCTTCTGGCAACAACCCCGCACCCTCGTCGCGGGCACCCGAGCACGCTCCAGCTTCGTGTTTATTGGTCCAACCTATGACTACACCGCATCTCACCACAACATCAAGAATCGACTCAAGGACATGCTGTATCAGTGGAATAACAAGAGACTGTTCGTTACAGTAGGCGATACTGAGATATCTAAGTTTGACCAATACGCTTCAGTACAGAGCGCCCTCAACCTGGGAGAAGCTAGCGACAAGCCTACCGAGAACCCCCGTCAAGCTCCTCTTGGCCTAGACATAGAGGAACCATCCAACACCGCTACCGATACGTCCAACGAAGCTGCCTGGAACACCACTGCTGATACGTCCAACGAAGCTTCATGGAATGCCACTGCCGATACGTCCAACGATGACACCTTGGGGGGTGCCTTGAGCACTGAGTGGTAAGGGATGATGGATACATGTGATAGACTGCTAGTTTTATGGAAGGAATAGTCTTGCTGACGGCTTGATTGAATGGATATGCATATGGATACCAAGATGGATGAGTTTTAATCGGACAAATGTACACTACCCCGCGGACGAGGCTTCTTTTTGCGGAAGGAGCTGATGTTATGATTTAACCCACCCAGGGATAGTGCGACGATGGCATCGACCTGGTATAGGTAGCTGCCTCTACGGCTCCACGATGGAATCAACCTTTCTGACACTTCACATCTGTCCACTGCCTGAGCCACGCCGACCATTAGTACCTCGGCTTACAGCAAACAGCCATGCTTCCTCAGCCTCGCACACTCACACCTGCACAGAAACGCAGTGCCCGTTTCAAGAAAGCTCAGGCAGCGCTTACTCCACAACAACTCGCGAAGCAAGATCAACAAAACCGAGCACCATCTATTGCTCCTATTGTACACATTACCGCAGAGGAACTGAAAATGGCAAGGCGTTGGTTTTCTGAGTTTATGGACGATTTGTATCCTGACACAGACACGGAAGCCACGTACTTTACACCTGGTGCTGACATTCCCGATACAACTATTCTGAAGGAGTATGCACGATATCTGGCGCGTTCCCGGGTTGGTCGAATCTCAGATAAGCTCAGCGTCAACTCTATGCAACACTACATGGGCATGATCATCTCTATTATGCAACGCAGCTGCCACCACCCATCTCAAGAAATGACACCAATGCGTACAGAGATCCGAAACTTTATTCGTAGCGATCTCGTACAACAAGAAGGAATCAGCACAAAGATGCATGTTAAGACGGTCGCTCATACGGAGGACGTAACGCGTGTCTTATCGAACCTCTACAATCCACAATACCTCATCACCTTCAGCAGTATGCGAACTGTTCTCAACCTAACACTTTACATCCTCCTCATGGTTGATATCTGCGGGCGCGGCTGTGATATTGCTCGGCATCCCCAAAGAGAGAGCCACATGTGTCTCCGATGGGAAGACATAGATTTCTTCTCTTTTCAAAGTGAGAACGACGACTCAATGGACATTAGGGCACAAATTACAGTCAAGTGGTCCAAAGGACAATCTCTCAACGACTCCGAATATCGAATCATTCCTCTCGCAGGACTGCTGCCGACTTCGCACGCTATGCAAGATACACTTCGCATGCTTCTTACACTGGCCTTGCTAGATGGTGTCTTTGACGGCGTCCAAACTTGGGAGGACCTCTGCAGCATGAGACTTCCCCCCAATCTTGCAGAGACTGGAAGGTTGATCGCGATGAAGCCTGCTATGATGCATATTCCAGTACTTCGCCGTATGAAGGATCGGAAGGTAGTAAACGATCCCGTCCAAACCTTGGAAATGCAGACAGAGATTCGCCGCCTTGGAAAATACTGCGGGTTCGATCATAGGTTCGTGGCTTACTGTCTTCGCCGCGGAGTGGCATATATACTTGCAACTCATACGACAAAAGAGAACCGCAGATTTCTGATGGGCCACAAGCCTGGCAGCAAGATATTTGCGGCATATCAGTCTCGCACGTCAACCATTGACTTTCCTGCTTTGTTCCGTACAATTGATCAACGTTCTGTTATTCCACAGGCTGGAGTTTCTCTCAACATGAGCCCTGACGCCCCTTTGGTTCTTTCGGAGGCAGGGAAGCAAGAGTTACTTGAAGACAATGAGATCCAGACTCTCAAGGAAGAAACAGAGGCACTTCGCACGATCATCATAGCAAAGCATGGTAGTCTCACAGCAGCATCAAGATGTTCCGAACCGAAATGGGAAGATTACAAGCAAGTGTTCGGTGCGTATAGATCTGCTGTTAATTCAGCCACAAAGCGCATCCTCGCGAGGGAACGTAAGCAATACTTTCAGCAAATCGCCATCAAGCCTGCAAAAAAAGCTGTGGAGAATTCGCCAGAGAACGTACCAGGAACAAGTGATTACACTCCTCCTTTGGACACCGCCCAGGCCAGTGGCTATCTTCGTGGTACATCGCCGCTTTTCGTGGCAGAGGACGAGGACTTGGAGACCGAAAACATGTCCATGGCCTTTGGAGAAGAGGCTTCACCTACTGGAGGTGATGATGCAGTTGAACTTGCGCTGGACCTTATCGACCCACGCCTACTCGATGCCGATATCGACAACACCACGCAAAATAGAGATGCTCTCGTCGAAGAATTGTTCGGTGCAGCTGAAGACAACAATAGAAGTGAGGAAGATACGAGCACCTCAACTCCAATAGACACCGTTCTAGCTTCCGCTTCATCCCAGATTGCTCTACACAGCCGCCCAGTCGATGTGCGTGGCTCGCTCAAAAATCGTACACTTATCCAGCGCGGCAACTCAGCATACGATGACTTCCTAGCTGATATCGAGGCCAAGGAAACTGAGTCAGAGATCAGTCAGTGCATGATTCGATGGTATAGCGTATGTCACAGGCCCGATGAGTTCCCAGTTGGTGAGGAGCCTCTACCAGGCACGTACAATTGCCGGTTCTGCGGAGAAGATCTCTCTCAATTTCATCACGCACATGAGCACACTCGCGCTTGTGCTAGAGAAGATGCATCCGTAAAAGCCCAAGTTCTTCTGGACACACTCGCGCCACTACATCAACCTTGCCAATACCAAACCTGTGGCTCTAAAGGGACATTTGGTCAGTTTGTTGTTTGCGGCGAGACCTTCACCACCGAGAAAGATCGAGGCGAACACATGCGAGGACACGTTCGCACAATGACCAAGAAAAATGCAGCCAATGAGAAAGTACCTACATGCTTCTTCGGTGCATGTGCAGCAAATCCACAAGGTGGAAGGCTCCGTCGAGATGGTCCAGATTTTGCCAACGAACACGAACGACTAGCTCACGTGTGGTCCGCACACCATGTCAGCACACTAAAGACTACAGGCATCAAGTACTGTGAATACTGCTCAACCTGGCTGATTGAACCTCACATATGGATCACACATGCAATCGGAGATTTCGATGAGGCTCAAGCTCTTATTAAAAGTATTGGCTACTGCGGTGTCCAGGCTGGCCGTAGCATACTTCCACGACTATGTCCTTTTTGTTTCCACAACGACTCTCTCCCCATCCACGAGCGAGTCGAAACTTATACTCGTGAAGGCCACCTCACACACTTTCGGGACCATTTGCGGGCGTTTACAACAGCCAGTTGCCCGTGCTATCCATCCATGTGCACACAGTCAGGCAGTATGAACGCTGTTCAAATGCAGCAGCATATGGCCAATGTGCATGGCCTTGAGTTACCGCGCCGTATGAATCCGCACAAAGCCCCTCAGGAAGTCGAACTGAACGAAGGGACGCCCAGAAAAAAGACAAAGACCAAAAAATGAGCGCGTCCAGGTCAAGCCCGTTGCCTCCACCGTCATTAGTTCTCCTTCAAAAATTAGCGTGCTCCTGGAGACAGTTTCGATCGTAGCTTCTTTTGGAAATGGTATTAGAATAGACTTTATACATACGATGAACAAAAATAATATGCCTTCTTTGGCAGTTTCATAAGCACTGTTAATCGTATTGAAATGGAATGCCTGATTCGTCAACTCAACACCACAGTAGACAACAGCTCCATATACATTGTAGTACTGGCGACTTCCTTGCGAGGTCTATTTGGCATAATATCCACGATAGCTATTGTAGACTGAACTGCCCCGACAGTCTCCGGAGTAAGCCCTGGCGGGGGCTGCTCTAGAGTAGGCTTCTTTAGCAGGATCACATACGAGCTAGTGCCCAGACGTTGTACATCCCAGTTCAGATTTTGATTCGCCTTCTTAAGTTCAGCGCTGTGATTGATGCGAACGCTCAGCCTTGATTTTCCTTTTACTGCCTCTACCGCTTCTACGTAGTGTATGACATCGCCGGCACTTCAGACAACGGTGAGATGGTCGCTGTATCTTATTGGTTTAGGTCTTGGCCTACAATTTAGTGTGAAGGTCTGGTTGAATGACGCATTACTAGAAATGATACTGAACCACACCTGGTATTGGAAGCTTTGTAGAACGAGGGCTCTTTGCTGGAAAGAATAAAAAGCTAAGCGCACATCCAAGCGAAAAAGAATGCGAAGGTGGCGGTGATGGGCGAGCGGTAACTTTCCCCGCCGCGCCTGGGCGTTGTTAAACTTTATAAAGCGTGGTAGCTATTGTAAGGGCTATTCATTTCGATCAAGGTTTGGTTTTACGATACCATGATATACCATTGTTCCGTATTGGAATGTTGGGGGGGTTCTGAGCATGTGTTTAGTGCTTGAGTTCTAATATAACAAGACTACGAGTCCGCATTGGACAAAGAGTTCGTATGAAGATGAACTTTATTGTACAATCCCTGATGCATTCCATCAATGGTGGTTTGTTCCTCCTAACCTCGTGTGCTCTGTCCCCAAGGCCTCGTTAGCTTGAGAGTATGTTTCCGGCGCGCTCTCTCACCCAGTCTCTAGCACCACCTAGGCGACAGCCGGAATCAACCCTTGAAAGACGTTTGGCTTCTGGTTATTCCAGTAGCGCGATACTCTTGGAATGGAAATCATAGTAATCCTTCCAGTCACACTTGTTCATAAGTCCCATTGTTTCCAACTAGTCGTCCGTCATCTTTCGTAGCGACTTGGGACCGGACCCATTCCTTGTCTCCATCAACACGCCGTTCTTGCACCGAATATATATTAGATTGGCACGTTTGTCATGCTCCGTGTCGAGCTGCGAGATCGAGATGATAGTGTTGTCATTGTTCAAAGCAGATGTCTCCTGAAATTCAAGTTAGTCAGACAAAGAGCACATAAATCAGAAAGGATTGGCAGAACTTACAGCACGATTGATAGCATACAGAGATCGTAGAGAGACACGGACGAACGATTCTTGGAACTCGGGTTTGGAGAGTAATGTGTCGAATAGCTTCAGTTCAACTTCAGTGACAGTTCCAGTACTGCTAGTGTCCAGAATGACCTTGATCGTGTTGCCATTTTTCGAAGAAATATCATATCAGTCACATTCCTCGTCCTCGTCCTCTCTAGCCTCCTCTCGTCTCAGTGCGTCCAGTTCGGCTCCCACGTCATCTGGGTGTGGCTCCGAATCGTTCACAGAATCCTTTCCGGGTTTTTCGCCATCATAAATAGAAGCTTCATATTGAGCATGGTTGAGAATTGGGTTACGGGCTTTCTGCGTACAATTCAGTCAAGTGATACAAACCACCACTGATGCTTCAGTCAGCTTTACCTTACCCTCCTCGCCGGGCCTGTGGTGAGCACCTTCGAATACAGAACTCTGAGTTATATTCTGAGCGGTTTAAAGTACCTTTCTTTTGTGGTGATAAGATCAAAGTGGGTGGGTTTGAGGGTATGAGCAGGACCATTGCAGTTCACAAGACAAAAGCGCTAGCGTTGGCCCGTGCTGGTGGTGACGTGCGGCGAGCGAGTCTGCGCCATGAATGTGTCTAGGACCTTTTAACTGCTCTAGCAGACAAGAGCTCCTCACAGATCCTTATACCAATCTTTTCTCCTTATGGCCACAGTTGTGGAGCATAGAAGGGAGGCCCGCAACGCCGCAATGACCTTGAAGACGCAAATCCAAGACCTATCCTTCACGTGCGATGAACCAACATTTGAATACCCACGGAAATTTGGCATCGAAACTCCCGTTTATATCAACGCGCGCAATTCATTCGGCGTAGGATATAAGAAAGCAATAGAGAAGTGGCAAGATTCGGAGGGGCAGAGTCACGCACGAGTCTGGATCTAACGCTAGCCGAGACGCAAGACGGCATTGGAAAAGAGGTATACCTGTACCTTATCGTAGGCTGAGTTTCTCAAACAGATTCAAAGTTAGAGGCATATGTAATAGAGGCGGAGCTCGATATAGAAATTCATTAGTATTGAATCTGGTAGAAAGGAAACCAACGATTACTACGATGTAGATGGAGCGTTCTTGAATGTAAACAAGAATGTAGAATATAAGATTTTGTGCCACTTACCCAAAGAGTTCAAGCGACCCAGTATGTGAGTTAAGCTTACAAGACCGCTTTATAAATTTCAAGATCCTCCTCTACTTTAGTGTAGGTTTTCGAGCACTCTCCTCAAGCGATTCAAGAATTTACTAGTTAAGCTTAAGAGAAATGAATTTATACGTTCTGAGAAATATTTAGATTAGTTCTATACAGTACAATTATAACGCGGCTAGATGTCGTGTATGCATTAGCAAAGCTCTCTCAATATCTAACTAGCCTAAGCTTAGACTTTGTGTTTAGAGGGAAGAAGATAGCGAAGCTTTACAAGTAAACAAAACTATTGCATAAACTTGATTATTTCTATAAACTAGTAGGCTTGACTTAGACAAAAGCCTCGTGTAAGAAAACAAAAAATAATCTCCACCAATCAAATCTCAAAAAGAATGTCCCAACAAAGATAAAGGGGCCTTAATAGACCAGCAAATGTAAAAGCCTTGATACTCAGAAACAAACTATATTAAGACTCGCCACTTCCTTCTTTCGCAGCTTCCTAAGAAACTTGCGATATTTCCTACGCCAACATACAAGCTTATCCCATTCGAACTCATCCTTCGTAGTAAGACTATATCCATACGCCTTGAAATAGAAAATAAGTTAATTACTATGCTAATATTACTCGAGCTCAACTTCTTACAACTGGTAGTAGAGAGCCTTATGCTTTTTTCTACGCGTGGGTCGAATACTACAATGATAGTATATATAACCAAGAAACTTAAAGGCTTTTCGGAACGTAGGGTTGTGGCTAGAACACTCGAGATAGGAGACACAAACTAAACGATCACGTGGATCTTCAGACTCTTGAGATGAATCTTCGCGCTCATCACCAAGGACCTAAACTCTAGGCTCTAGGTTGCTAGAAAGCTAAACGTAAGGCTCTGGAGGACCAGAAAAATAAGCTTCAGCCTCTGGAGTTGCACCTTAGATAGCTAGACCATTAGCATTAGGGACTTACATTGCAAGCTCAGCCATGAATTCACCAACACAAGTTTCTTCTTTAACAAGATAATTAATTACATCGGTACAATTGGTGAAAAGATAAGCTATGGGCTCACCATTAGGCTGGCGAAGAGTTGGGGTTCTTCACTAAACCTCTCCAGTGGACTAACCATAAGTTTCATCCTCAATTTCCATGTCTCAAACGACAAGATCTAACTTTAACTTTCGAGCTCTAACTTTCGGCTTAATTAGAGCCCTTATAGGATGCTTGGACCTCTTACGTGAAGTCGGGATATGTAGATCGGGTCCACAAGACGCGTCAAATCTAGGCTTACTATAGCGCAACACAAAGACACTCCAGATCTATTACGAGTTTCTTCGTAAAGCTTATCGCTCTTGATACTAGAGATGGTTCTCGCAAACTTATTTATACTCTTGAGTGCAGGGGTAAATATAAAAGAAACGTCGGTGATAAAGCTTGAACAAAGGAAAGTAACAGGACGAGCTTGAACAAGACTTACGTCGCTCTATAGCCGTGGTCGTCGAGTTAATAGACAATGTATGTAGTGTAAGCTTTCCCGGTGTTAATATTAAAATCGTTACTGCCGAAGGGTCGGTTATGTAAGTAGTATGTACATTGCTCGAGTGTACCTATTGCACACGAGCTCTCCTTCTGCACACACACTACGCGGCGTATTTAAGCTGCATGTCTATCCACCTTAGGCGTAGCCTCCTCGGGATTTGTATTGAGGGGGCTATTGAGCCCTTGATTGACGTTCCGAGCTTAAACAACGGAAATAGTTGCTTGGATGTTGGGGGGGGGGGGGGGGGGGAGGTAGATGTCTGTGCTTGAGTACGAGGTGTTTGCCAGGAGGATCACGTCGTGCCATTTAGCCTTAAGCTAGAGTCTTAATAGACTAAAGCTCACTAGTAAAGCCTTAAGCAGTAGTTGGAGGTGTAACTTAATTAGAACTTCACTGATTTATTCATAGCACCCTCAGCCTCGTCTAGCTTCTAGTCATCAAGCGCGAACGATATCGAGATAATACATAAGTCATTTACTAGTGACAAGCCCTTTTCTTAGTCTAGTAGTAGTACGAGGAAGCTTGACTTCTATAACACGCCGCGCTGCAGTAAGTTACTACATCTCTTTTAAAAGCTTCTATAAATGTAATTATCTCAAACAAGAGAAATGAAGACACACAGTCTAAGAACTGAAAGCTTAAGCCTTTGGGCGCTCAAAGCATCCAAACCACTAATAATTATACGCTGCTGAGTATTATAAGGCAACTCCGCACCTAGAGATCTAGACTACTAAAGTAGAGGCAAACTCGAAGAGGTAGAAGCCCTAGTACAAGCTTTGTCGCAATGGATACAAGTACGAGGAGGAATCTAGCCTGAAAGTACTAGTGTCTTAGCAGACTACGGGGTGAGCTTAGAAGTCTTATTTGGACGCCGACGCGCCTCCCCTAGTAGACAATAACGAGAACATTAAGCTAAATATGAGAGAGAAATTCAAAAGGCCCTATAAAGCTCTCACTAGTAGACTTCCGCGCATGCTGACAAAACTGCTTATAGGCAGAAAGGGAAATAAAACCTGACACTTCAGAATCTCCAGCTTAGAACGTGTTTTCATCGTTTCGGTTAAGACTTCAGCTGTAGGCACAAACACTTAGTGCTAGCACTACTAGAAGCAAAGGGGGCCCGAGAAAACCTAAGATGACTAAAGGCAGGAGTAACCCCATAAGCTTGAATAGTATCCTGGATTTCACTTCTAGTGGCACCCTACGCGTTCTTAGAACAGGCATTTAGAGCAGAACTCCTACCAGCTCAAGGGCCAGCTATAATGCCAATGTTTAAATCGATATCAGGGTCTGAGAGATTACTGTCCGAAGACTTAGATTCTCAAAAAAAAATAGTTGATTAGTTCAAGGATCTCTAAATATACTACGAATTTGAAAAAGTTGGAGTAATTATCTAAGCTGCTACTCGAAGACTTATCGATATTAGAAGAGGGTGGGAACTTCGGCGCTGGCTCGTACGACCAGAAGACTAACAACTCGCTTTATCTAGAACTATTAACCCTATACCGGCTGTGCTTGTTTGGTTTTTTTTTATTAAAGTTTCTTTAAGGAGGACTAAACACCCACTCAGTCTATGTTGAAAACGTGCGCGTAGACGCGCGACACTTGAAAAGAGGAGGTGCAAGGAAACACCTGGACCCTGATGTCGCCGAAGCAACAAGAATTAGAGGAACTACAAGGCTTGATAAGTAAGCTTGGCGGAGCCTTTTGTTGTATTGATATAGGAGTGTTGCATTGAAGCGAAGTGATATACTATTATGAAAGTGCGCCAACATGTGACTAAGCAAACGGAGCCTATGACAGCAATACTTTACGAACCAACTACGCCTTTCATTTACTCACGATAATACAAATGGAGCGCTACGAGTGAAGAGGTTAAACGGCATATTCAAACTGTGTAAAACAGAGCTTAGGGTAAAGGTCTGGCCGATATTGTATAGGTTGAGTTTATCGCGCGGTGCGCATCTAATTTGAGACACAATATTCAGAATAAACATCTTCCTAGAGGAAGATATGATGATCGTCTCTTGTGGCGTTGTCATGTCTGTATAGCGGAGCATGATCAAGAGCGAGGACCAGATACGTGAAAAAATAAGAGAACCCCCCACGGAAGTGGCACAAAACCAACAGTCCTGATATATCTCTTTGTTTCAGGAATATTGCAATTGAACAGTAAGACCAAGTCACCGTACCTGGTGTCTGATGGGACAAAAACAGTAAAGAACGGTATGTCTCCGGCTTTCGCTGATGTATCATCGCTCTGTGAGAGATGTAATACTGACACAATACTGAATAATAACCCAATCTAAAATACCCAGGTATTCATGTTTGCACTTTTTTGTCTTTTATCCCAGGCCATGAAATACGATGCAAGAGACATATAATTAGATCACATGGCGGCATAAATGATACCAGCAAATGTCGAGTAACATGAGTAGCGAGCCGGAACTACCTTAGGCTACTTCAAGGCATTGACTGCCTTATGGTTTGACACCATGTGAGTACTTTTCAGTCTTCCCCTCTTCATACTATTTTGTGGGAACTCGAACTGTCTGCTAACGAGCACAACGCCTTGGTGGATATCATATGCTTCGCCCATCTACTCACATCTTCACCAGACCGTCATTATACTACTACTGTTTTGAACGCATGTTCATTTTCTACCGACGTCTTGGTCAGGGCACTGAGTTACAGCATAAAGCATGCAAAAACTCAACCCTAGTCTCGTTCTAGAGTCCATCCAACATGAGAAAGAAGATAATGTGAAGGAAATTGTCAGCGAAGAAGATTGTGTACTCCCTGACGCTGCATGTGTCTAGAAATGAGTAGCCTAGAAATAGGCAGTGGAAGAAGACGGCAACTGAAGGTCTTCAAAGATCACAGCCTTCATTGATGTGTTCGATGAGAGCATTTGTTTCTGAGATATCATCCAAACAGTCTTCGCTTATGCATGAGCCTGTGGCATGTCTTCAATACGACAGTTGCGAGGCCCTAGAGAAGCGCGACGAGATATTGAAAGGTTCCAGAGCACCGCAACACCTCCGGGTTCTTCTTGTGACCCATGGAACTAGTGGAGTCGCCATCGAAATCCCCTGGGCCGATATGTCTTTCTTTAGTGGGCATGGAAGCCTGGTCAAACCCGAGCGGTTACAAGGGCATGTGTGTACCAACAAGCACAAGTTCAACAATAAGATACTGGGACACATCACTCGAGACTCGCACTTGATAAAATGATTTTTTTAATGATCCTCTACGGCAGAATATCTTTTGAACGTTGGCACGTGCTGGAGCTTCGACCTTGATGGCTTTCTTCCGCTCTACTATATAGGAGACCTAGGAAATCGCAGAGCTCGTTGTACTCGGCTAGGGAGCGGAGATACAGACTGCTAGCGAATAGCTTAAGCTCCATGAGACGGAGCTTGGGGTGAAGCCATGCCCGATGTTGTACAGGGTGAGCTCGTCGAGAGGTGCGTAACTGACGTTGGCGTGGGCGGCGAACAGATGGAGCGTAACTTTCTTGTGCTCATAGATCAATGGCGTCGTAATAATCATTGAAATTGATGTATTTGTCTGGGGCTTGTACAAGGTCTTCTTGCTCCTCGCCAGCGCCTGTGGTTTGTGATGGCGCGTTCACAGGCACTGTTGCTGATGCTAGCCCAGCTTGGAACGGTGCGGACATGGCGTGACGAAAAGTGATTTGTTAAGAGATAGAAAAGAACATGAGTAAAAATACAGAACTTGTGATACGTTAGAAAAGCGTGTAGATTATCGTCTCGTAGTGGGAGCGTTTACGGCAGCATGGATAGCGGTTGAAGACAAAGGTAAGAGAGGATAATAAACCCCTTCTCCCGCATCAATCTATCCATATTGCACTCTCTATCATACATCACTGTTAGCATCAGAAACAAGCTAATTTTTTTTAAAAGAAGATGCGTGTACAAACCTACCAAACATAGACAACAACTTCGAAGAGGTGCCAAGACGCAGCACTCTTTGTTGTTTAATTGGTCTAACCCGATTAGGTATATAGCACGATCTGCTCAACATCTTCAAAGTCGAAAATAAATCTAGGAAATACATTTCTGACTACTGAGCATACTCTATCAAGGATAAAGACTTGATAGTAACGCGTCTAAAACAAGCGATAGTGTACATCGATAGCCGAAACACGTGAAAAGTTGTTACATATAACGTGTAATTTTGAAATTACAACTCAACACCCAACCACCACCCATCTATCCCCATTTTGCAACCTCACCACCGATTTCTCAGTTCGTCTTTGCAATTTCTACCCCGCCTTGGGCCCCCAGTATTTTCTTAATGTCCCCATAGATGGCGAACTGTCCAGCAGTCAAAGTACCGACCATGAAGAGACGAGCACCAATACCACCGAAAGAACCACGGACACCAAGCTCCTTGGCGATCTTGATCAGACGGCTGGTGGTTCCCTCTCCGGGCAGGCCCTTGGTCTTGTTGATCCTGGAGAGCATAGTGTCGGCAGGCTGGGAGATGATGGCAGCGGCGAAACCAGCCATCAGACCGGAGCTCAGGTTGTAGACGGTCTGCATGCCAGACGAGGTCTTGCTCTTGTCGACAACGGTGTAGATGGCCTCGTTGACCTTCTCGAAGACGACGAACTTGGCCATGGTGTAAGGAACCCTAAGTGGAATGGTTAGTTGGGGATCAGTCTGGCATCGAAAAGACAGTGACGTACTGCTTGAACAGGATGGGTCCGAAACCAGAGTAGAAGGCACCGACACCCTCGTTCTTCAGGATCTTGCTGAAACCACCAACGAGACCGTTGGCAAAGGTTGGGTCACCGACGAGACGGATACGGGTAGCCTCAAGAGGGCAAAGGGCGACGTCGGCGAAGAACTCGGCAACGGCGGCGGAAGCGAGGTAGACGGCGGTGCGGTTGTTGGAGGCGGTCTCGTAGCCGACCATGTTGATGGCCTGCTGCTTGAAGAACTCATAACCACCAAACTTGAAGGCACCTTGGAGGAAGTAACCGGCAGCGGTGGGACCAAAACCAGTCCAGACGGCACCAGCACCCTCGTTGGCAATGACCTTCCTGAAGCCACCGATCAGGCCAGTGTTGTAGGTAGCGGGGTCAAGCTGTATCCTGGTCTTGACGCTGTGAAGATTGTTAGCTTGGCATTCTGTCGTCATTTTCCATGTGCCGCCAGGAGTCGCAAAAATATGCTCTCCGCAGCCATTGCCATCGCCCAGAGTCATTGAAGAGGCGGGAAAACATACACATCGACGGGTGTGAGGGCACCGTGGGTGACGGAGCAGCAGACGGCACCAGCGAAAGCGAATCGCGCATACAGTCCAACGCCGGTGGGCGCGGCTGGGTCGACTTTGGCTCCAATCGCGGCCTTTGCGGCGTCGAGCTTGGAGGAGCCGGTCGAGGTGGGTGGAGGAGAGGTGGCCATTTCGCTGATATGAATAACAGACGCGAAGGGGGTGGAGTGGAGTGGAGAGGTGCGGTGCGGTGGTGTTGAGAATGGACAGATGGAGATCAAGAAACCCTAGTTGTTGGTGAGAAGTTTTGTGCTTGGCACTGGACCCGTTCTTTTCCGACCACAATCCGGATACCCGCCCTTGTCAGTATTCCTCCATTCACGTCACTGCACTCTAGTGCGTGCGCAACCGGAACCCGGGTCTGTTAATCCCGCAGCCGCAGCACTTTCTTTTTATATAACTATTTACTTGCAATTCTCACCGCTCTATCAACACGGAGTCGCCCTTGCTTTAATATCTAGCTACTCAGAAGCATATTGCACCCCACCAATATCATGCTGAATCACATGTCAGCTCTGCGCCCCGCAACTAGCTTGATAATTTTCAAACTTTTGCGCCCATATTTGGCTGGACATGTCAGAATGATTTGATCACTCGTCACTTTAGTGCAAGTCATGAGAAAATTCTAATCTTGTGATTGTGCGACATCAAGTTGTGCTCTGATAAGTTATGTTGTACGGTTCTTGCGTCACATGTGTGTTCGACGTATATGGCGTATTTCTCTCACTCAAAAGCTGAAAGGTCCAGAACATTTGCCCCATCTCTCGAACAGGTAGAGAGACATGCGAAAGACAAAAGTATAAGCAGATTTTCCTCCTTCGCCACTATGCAAATGAGAAGCATGAAGCCAGGAATGCCCGACCATATTTGTATTTCTCAAGTCACTGACTCTTACGACCACAAGCCGCTGACCGTCTCTACTCCTCTTTCTACTACTGCCTTGACACGTGCTCTTAACGCATTATTCGAACATTCTACATCCAAATCCTCCAGCCACACCTTGGCCACAAAACGATCAAACTTGATCTCAACCCCTGGAACAGGAATGCCTAGGTTGTGCAAACGCTTCAACTCTTGCTTGTCCTCTGTGGACAGTTGGTCATCGGCTGAATAAGATTCGGTGGCGCCATGAGGATCTGTTGCAGATGCAGCATCAGGCACTGGGGCATCTGGAGAGGGTGTATCGGCGTCTGTAGTAGCGGCTGGTGTTCCGTTGGTGGTTGCTGTCGTGGTACTGTTACGAGGAAGGGTAATGGGACGGACAGCTTCCTCGCCGAATTGTGCCTCGAGGAAGAGGAAAAGGCGAGCGAGACGTGTGGAGGGGTCGGGTGTCCGGTGAGGGTGCGGTTTATCCTTGAAGCGGTGAGTGAATTTCGTAGCAGAAATGTCGTCTGAAGCTGGAGGTCCATGGTTGTGCGAGTGTTGCTTTGAGGATTCTTATTGGATATGTTAGTAAATAGTGTGACTGGAAGATATGATAGGGGCGAAACTTACGCCGTACAGCCGCTGGTGAGGACTCGACTGTGAACAGGACGGCGAGGACGGCATCGGCAATTCCATCGTTGATTACATTGCCCTCCCACTCGACCTCTACTCTCCCACCGTTCTTGACGAGCACGCCTACGCAATCCATGACAGCAAATTTGATCTCTGTCCGGTTGACCTCCTCATCTGCTTCTTCCTTGTGCCCGTTTTCAGTGCCGTTCATCTTGCCTTCAACAGCTACATCAGTGAGACGCGTCTCTTTAATGGCACCAAACGTGCCTTCTAGAGCCCACCGTATCAAATCAATGCCTGCCGCTGATAGTGTAATATGTTGACGGCAAAGAATAGTCGTAGTTGTCAATCCAGCATACTCTTTCAAATCCTCTGGTGCCATGAGACTGATCTTGAAATCGTTCTGTATCAACACTCCACTGATGATGTCTACATTTTCCCCCTCTAATTCCTGCTTTACCCCAGCCTGATCAGCTTCACTGCCACCAGGGGTCAGAGAACGAGGCATCGGTGGAGTGATGGAAGCTAGCTTTCCCACAACTTTTGCGATCTTATCGGTTTTGAAGGGGATGCGGAGTTCCTCACAATTGGCGGGGGAGTAGATTTTGGTGGGAATAGTTTTTTGGGCGTTGAAAGAGAGAAGTTTTGATTTCAAGCGGGTCATGTTGCCTTTTTCGCCATGGACGAGAATCTAAAATATGTATTAGTATCCACAATCAACTCTGAATGCTAAGCTTGAAACTTTTAGGAACTTACGACAACTGGCGCGCCGACTTCCTGCACAAACTCCATGTTCTCTTTTCCGTCAACGTGAGCAGCAAAACTGTATTCCTGGACTGTGCACCGTCGGGGTATCATGGTCTGCTCATTCTCCCGTTGACCTGGTCGACGCGCTGTATTGCTTGCTCGTGTCATTATAGCGGGAATTTGATCAGGCTCATGTACAATCTGCTTCGCCATTGTACCTTCGACAGAGTAACCCGTGATGATGACACCGTTCCTCGGATCCGGGGCCCATCGCTCAAGCAGCTCACGTGATGTGCCTGACTGCATCATACCAGGTGAAGCCAGCATGACACAGCCTCCAAGGTCGTCAAAGCGCTCCAGGCTCTTGAGTGATCGAACGAATTTGAAGTCCCAAGCTCCCCGACGGCCTGTATCGCCTGCTGCTTCGGCCTCTGCCATGCGCTCAGCGAAGAGACGCTTGATGTTGTCGTTCATGGCTGAAACATATGTTTGGTAAACCTGCATACACTTTCGCGCCAGACTCGAGTTGTAATAGATGGGTATCTTCTGGACTTCTGGATGTTTGCTCCAGTACTCGTCCAAGATGAGCAAAAGTTCTTGTGCTCGTCCCAGGGCAAAAACTGGGAGCAGGGCTCGGCCACCGCGGTTGAGCACATCTGTAATGGCCTTCATGAGCTGTGCTTCTCGCTCAACACGTGGAGTGTGCATCGAGATACCAAATGTTGACTCAGTAATGAGAACATCAATCTTGACGCCAGGCGGTACGGAAGCAGACACCAAATGTCGGTCATCTTCTCGCGAGTAATCTCCAGTGAAGAGTATCTTCAAACCGGCAATCTCCATGAGGAACATTGCAGCACCAAGCACGTGACCTGCTGGATACGGTGTTATCCGTACACCAGACACGGTATGTGTAGTGTAGAAATCTATGGACTCGATCATGGGGTAGGTATTGAGATGATCGGCCTCAGTGTACATTTGGATCTTGGTCTCAGAGTTGCTCGACATGTTGCCAACACGGACCGAGTCTTGGATGAGCCACTTGTAGATTGCTTTGGTAGGATGTGTCATGAAGACGCGACCCTTGAAGTTTGTTTTGGCAAGGACGTATGGGAGAGAAGCTGCATGGTCGACGTGAAAACTAGCCTAATGTCAGCCTACTGAACGACGGCCAACAAGGACAAGGACAAGCTCGGAGAGTAGACGTAGAGGAGTAGCTAGATACAGGGGCGGAAAGCGGGGATTGGTACATCATTGAAGTCGAACGGGGAGGATGCAAATTATATTCCATTGATACTGATATACAAGTCGCTGAACTGCGAGTGCCCAATGTGCGCTCATGGTCCGACTCCAGTGATGCGCCGAACCCCAAGTCCCATAGCAAGCAAGATGTGCGTATACATACTGTGATATCAAGAGCACGTCTACAGTGCTAAGATCAAAGTCGTCGTAAAAGGGCATGGCGGACAAGCCCTCGTGGGCGGGGTGCATGCCGGCATCGAGCTGCGCCTTGTTAGCAGGGTCGCCTTGGGCTCCAAGTCTGTCTGCGCACCATGACCGTCTTGCCCTTGTACTGGATGATGTGACATGACCGCCCGACCTCGTTACCGCCTCCCAAGCAGAGGAACATGAGCTCGTCGGAGGGATCTATGGGGTCGTCGTCTTCGGGCGCCATTGCAGCTGCCTTTCTCTTTGCAGCCATGGTCGTGGCAGGTAGAGTCGAACAAGCGCACTTTTTCTTGACGGACACGGGCGAGGCAAGAGGCGGGTACTACGAAAGATGGGGGGGAAGGTGAGTGCCAGAGAACGCGTCGAAGGTGCAACAAAGAGCGCTCTAGCTAAGCTTCATTAGTCAGATGGTCAGTGTCGACGTAGCAATCATGCGTCTCAGTAATGACAGGCGAGGGTGAAGGTAAAGCTGCTGCTACTGCCTGGTGTTGTTGCGCGTTTGGGTGAGAGTGAGGTGATGTTCCGTTGCGGCTGCGCTTTGTCGGGCGCGTCTGCCAAGCCCCAGTTAGTGCGCCTGCCACCGCTGGCGTAACTTCGTAACCTTGCTCCATCAAGACTCCCACAGGTATCGACGCGCCGACCGACACCACCCACCGCGACCGTCTACAGAAATCACGGCTCATCGCCAGCCTTGTCGCCCGCACAATTCGCCATCCCCGGATGACACGCGGATAGACGCTTCTCGCCTGCGCAACTCCCCACAGGGGACGAGCTGCCCACCATGTCCTACAACCAGCAGTATCCTCCGCCCCAGGGCCAGCAGCAGCAGCCGCGCGCATTCTCTCCGCAAAATTACCAGCACTCACCAACGGCCCTTTCCCCGACCATGGGCAGCGGCATTCCTCCCAACAAGCGGCAGCGCCTGTCGCCCAATCCACCATCGCCAGCACCCTACCAGTCGCCCTTCGGCATGCCTGGCGCGCCGGCATATCCCTCGTCACCCTACGCCAATTCCCCCCAGACACCCGGCTATCTATCGCTGCCAACATCACCCGCCGCGATGCAGCCCCCGCCCTTTCACCAGCCGCAGCCCTACCAGCAACCAAATGCGCATTCGCCCGCGCCACAGAGTTCTATGCCGCCGCCAAAGGTTCCGTACAGTAAGGCCACTGACAACTCGGAGCTGGAAAAGGCGAATGCGCGCGATTTGGACGTCAATAATATCAGTGATGTGCTCACCGGATCGGGTATCGACTTGCGCGCCGAGGAGGACAATCTGCTGCAGAACTATCGGAGCTTCACCTCGCAAGGCTCCGCATCTACAGTATCACCACACGGAAGTTTTAACAACTGGAATCAACAAGGCCATGGCGCATACCAAGGGACCGGTCCGCTCAGCCAGGAAATGACCAAGGAGCAGCAACAAGCCGAATTTATCAGGAAGCATGAACAGGCCGCTCGCATCCTGAATGAGTCGGCTCAACACCCCCTGAACGACCCCTTCCTGTCGGCAAGTGTGCTTCGGCACCGCATTGCAAAACGCGGATACGAGCACGGAATCCAGATCAATGTGGATGGCTTGTTCGACAAGATTCCTGACAAGGGCCAGCAAGAGATTACGCGTAGCACGCAGACCGGCGCAAACGGTGAGCAAATCATCGGTCTGGAGGCTGCCAGTCTGCTCAACCAGAATGCTCCACTTGTGGAGATTCTGACATTAATAACTCTCGCTGCCGAGGAGCGTGTACGGACTCTTGTCGAAGATTCTTTTGCTCTGTGTCAAGGTCGCCAGAACACCTCCGATGGCGTCATTCCCCCTCAGATGGTTGATATCGCCGTTATAGACGAGAATGCCCAAGAAAAGATGGTTCGGCCTGTTAATATCTTGAAGACACCATGGGAAGCACCGGATAGCGCTGTCAGCCCCACAGCGACAGCAAACAAGGGTTGGTTTATTCTTCGAGTATCTAAAACAGCAGCTAACAGACATAGGCCTACCCAATGCGGCACGTTTGCCTACACCACCGAGCGAAGCGCCACCTACCCCCCAGCGGACATTTCAAAATATCAACCGCGTCGCCAATGCGCTCACCAAGCGCGTTCAAGACGACTACAAATGGGAACAAGAACGCCTTCGTAAGCGAGCAAAGCGACAAGCAGGTGTTTCCAGTACATCAGCAGATGCACCAGCGATACCAATACCGCTCCCGGAGCCAGTTACAAAGAAAGCCTTGGCAGCTGCGAAGAAGCAGAGCCAGTCAGATGTCGTTGTATTCGGCAAAGCCAACGAAACAGCCAGTATGGCCCTCGGCGGAAAAAAGAAGAAGTATTCATGGATGACTGGTGGAGGTGGAGGCGGAGGTGGCGGCGGTGGAAGCGCATCTGGCGCCTCAACACCACGACCCGTGGCAGCATCTGGCGGCAGCGGTACGGTAACACCGGCCGCCCAAGCGCCCGAGAAGGCCCTGATCGGCCGCAAACGCAAGTTCGGCGAGGCCATTGAGCAGACAGAGACGGGCGCTGGCATCCAACTTCGCGATCTCATTCACGTGCTCGAGAATGACGGCCGCGAAAAGAAGACACTTACGCTCATCTTGGCGCGCATGAAGAACACGGACAAGGATGTGAAGACGGAGGTTAATAGGAATCTGCCCCCCATCTCCACTAATGTACCTGGACGGGTATGAAGAAATTCAAGAAAGATTATTCTCTCCCGATTTTTTTTTCGGGATCTTTTCGTTATTCACTTGCATTCATCAGCGATGGCGTTCTCACATCCGGGTTGGGGTGGGAGGTTTAAATCGTGGAAGCTGACAAGAAGCAAAAAAGAAGTATTCTTGCGTGCACGTGTATGTGCCTTTTCTTCATTTTATTTCTGCAATATCCCAAGGGCTGGGATAGAAACTTTCTTATTCTCAAATGGATTGAGGGAAAGGGTCCCTTGTGCTACCATTTTTTTTCTGATCTTTTGGACGACTGTATACTCTATTAGACAATGAAAGGAAAAGTATAAATGTCTTGAGTTACATGATTAACGTGGGAATGCGTAACGTTACTAGGGTTCCGTCTTCCCTCTCTCTCTCGGTTAGACATGTGCATATTTTATTTCTCTAATTCCTAAAACCTACACTAAGAGGTTTGCGATGCATACAGCCGAGAATCCTCATATCTCCAAAGGCCCTGGGTGCCACAGGCGGTGTAGAAATCGCGAAGACGAACTGATTTCCGAGCAGAAAATAGACGGGGAGTTGAAGTTTTGCGGTTCTGAGATTTCGCATTGGATGTAACAACTTCTTTTCAGGTTTTCCGGCTAGCAATGTACACTATCAGGCTTATTATGGGCGTATTAAACCGTGGGCCTATTGTCGTGGATAGAGTATATTCCATGTAGTCAGAATTTTACTTTGTTCAATGTGCTTGTTGTGTTGTTCTGGTGTATATGATTGATTGTCGTGATGCATGTTGGGGAGTTTTAGCGCGGATTAGGGAGGTTTTGGCCGGCGGGCTCTCGAAAAAGGGGATTGGCGCTACTCGGGGCGTGGAATTGCTACGTTAACTACTCCAAAATCAAAAGCAGAAACGAAATCACCGTAGGGGGACATTTGCGATTACTATCGGATTCTCTTAACATATCCGTTTCTTCTGCTTCCCATGTCCTCTTTAAAGGGGAATGTCATATTGTAGATCAGCGTGGTTGATATCACTAAGACGCAGCACCCTTTTTCAAGTCTGATTCGGTCTAGTCCCGATTTGGTATAGCAAAATTCATGATAACTGCTGAATTCCACAACATGATGTGAGAGCAAATCCATGTTCGTCGATTATTATTTTTTTTGGCTAAATTACCTTCAGAGCTCTCTTGTTTCCCATTACTATCAGTGAAAAAAACCTTGTATCGCGTGTGTATAAATTCGGTTTTTCTAGATAGGAAACAAAAAACGGGTGCGATTGAATGACGTCTCAACTGCCCTCGTCTATGTCTATGCACTACTATTTCCCCATTCCTTCGTTGGGGGGGAGGGACAAGGATTTCATTCGTATTATTAAATTTCCGCGTCATTGAATATTGAATGTTAGATATAAATCTAGCATTTGCGATTGCAAGCAACTCGCAACATGTTACAACAAACCGGCAATGCTTGTACAAGTAATCACTAGATAAGGTACTTTACATGACGGTGAAAGCGGGGCCGAGCTAGGCTTCCTGGTTGGTATGGGCACAGAGCCTGAATCGTAATCTTTGACAAAGTGGTTCAGGACTACAGGACACAGACAAGAAGTTCGCCAAGTTGTTCAATGGGTCTACGTACCCTTACCGGAAGTATCGTTCACGTCGGAGTGCACGTCCACTCGCGTCAACTGATTCAATACGCGTGGACAATTCCCCTCTCTCTCTCTTCCCCCAACCCCTTTTTACCTGTGCTTTAGCTAGTCGAGTTGCGGGTACCACTCAACATGTGCGTTATGTGTGCTAGGCAGAAAGCAGGTGGATGCGCTGCGACGTGGTTCCAACGAGGAGCACGGCGCGCAACCACTGGCTGGCGTCGGAATAGCCGTGTTTGCAACCAGGAACTTTGCGACTGTGGGCCTGGGCTGCTGGCGGGTGCAGAGACTTTTGGGTCAGGCTAAACTTTCCGATAGTCTAATGTGTCTGATCTGCTTTGTTTTTTTTGTTCGGCCCAGCTCCGCTTGCGCGCGCGCGGGCACTGCTCTGCGTAGACTACTATGCTTTTAGGGTATATGATAGACCCGTGCCTTGGGGGGGACTTTGATTGGACCCGGGCATCTGGCCATGGTAAGCCAAGGTTTCTCAAAGTTCCCAGATGCCGAGTTCTACTTTATTTTGGGCATGAAACACGTTCGGTGCGAATTGCTTCCCTTCCCCCAAAGTTGTCATGGACATGTTAACCTCGTGGCCATGGTTGTTGGGTTTGAGTTTTTGTGACTGGGGGGGGACAGTTGCGGGAGATAGGGCTTACATGTTATCCCTGTGCTTAGTCGTACCGATGATGAGCAAAGCTCGCTGAACAAAAGAAGATGTACTTAGTTCGGTTCTCGAAAAGGAAAGGAATGAGAAAAGGAATCAAGGCAGAAAGCTCGAGTTGACAATGGGAAAATGCTCCGTGTGTCGTCTAGGCTGCGAGGGTGCCTGTTCGGGTGATCGGCGCATTGCATCTCAAGCTCATGGCTAGCGACCTTTGTCCCCGCGCGCGCCCCCCCAGTGCCAGCCACTACCGTCACTTGGAAGCGCATATCTATGCCATGGCCGCAACAACAGCATCCCAGTCGTCTGGTGGGGGGGCCGTGATAGACTACTGCGCAGCTGCGGCTGCGGCCTAAGCGTTTGCTGTAGCTTCCTACCACTTGCTGACCATGTCCCCTTCTTAAAATGCCAATCTCCTTTCTTATGTCATACGTAGCACAGGCAGTCTCTACTAATCTGGCTCAACAGCCTCTTTTTTGTGTTGTGTATTAACTGAGCGCCCATCATATGCCATAGCTTCTCAGACATTTACAGCTCCCGGAAAAGTCACCATGGAGGTACAGACCATTAATCAAAGCTACCGTTCCAAAGAAAGAGCCCCCCTCAATTAACGATTGGCACAGAACACTACCATATCAGCACCATATGGCGATATTCGATTTCACGCAGCAATTACACGGTCGACACAATGCCCAGCAGCAGCAGCCTCTTCAGATGAAACAGCGCCGAGCAGCAAACCACTGCTCTCAACACTGCCACCCCCGCCCCCATACATAAGCCACGACGGGTACGAACATGAAGTACCAATAGCCGCGCACTCAGTCATGCCCCCAGGTTGTCGTCACGATGGGCACGAGTACCGGCAGCTGGTGATGCACGAGGTGATTTCGCATCCCTACAGCGACTTACCATCACGGCCAGCGAGCCCCGATGACGTACCCCTTGCGTACCTCGTCACAGCGCAAACGTACCTCGAGGACAGCGACGCGTCATGTACAGGCGAAGCACCGCCGTCGTATGCGGTTGCGGTGCGACAGAGCTACCGCGACACGCTGATCCAGTACATTCCGCCGGGCCAAGAGGGGTACGGCGATGTGGATGACGAAAGCGAGATTGGCGTGGACATGGAGAGGCCGGACGACGTACGGTATTCTGTGGAGAGGATTGCGGCTATGTTTGTGGTTGCGTTTATATTGCTGGTTGTGTCGGGCGTGCTGGGGTGGATGGTGTTGAATGGGGCGCTGGAGTGAGGGTTGGAGGTAGGGATAAGGGACAGGTGAGTTTTGGAGATGAAAGGAAATATTTTAGAGGATACAAGGGAATACGGGATAAAGGAATGGGCATGGGAACAACAACAGTGACATGGGCGTGGCGTTTTGGAGGGGGCGAATGTGGGTGGGTGGGTTATGGCGTTTTACGGGGCGTTGGATACCACGATCTTTTTTTGTTTAGCATTTCAGGGATACTCGGGATAGCGGCATACTAGCCATGATGGCAAATGGGACAATTTTCGGTTTACGGCTTGCGTGTGTGTAGTGTACTTGGACTAAGTGTACACCTATGGCAGCGGGAGTTGTGGGAGTGGACAGGGAAGCCCTGGGTGGACCCTGGGGGCGTTTGGTGGGTCTTGTGGCATGACATGGACAGATGGAGGATAGAGAAGGCTGTCGAGTAGAGTGCAATTGTGGGCATGCAAATGTTAGATTCTGCGACAGTATATGCGTCACGTGTGGGTTGGGATGGGGGGCTGGAAGGGGCTGATTCAGCGCAGCCGACTGGATTTGGTCGCCAATGGTGTGTAGAGGACAGGATGCTGACGGCGGAAGATGACCCGGCCCTGTGTTGAGCGACCCCGCGGCGTGTGTCTGCCCAGGACTTTTGCCATGGAGGACAGCGGAATAGTTTGCGTCTCCTTGTCCATTTGCATTTGCAGTTGCATCATCCAATGCATGCGCATGTGCATCAGCAAGGCCGCCCTCCCAGCCCAGGGACACGGCGAGGCTGCCGCGCCGTCAGCCTTGAGGGAGCCACGCTGCGACTGCGCCGCAGCCCAGTTGGCGGGGCTTCCTTCACACAGCCTTGAGCGGTTTGGGACAGTGCCCAGCTCGCCGTCAGCCGCAGTAGCAGCGCTCGCTGATATCCTTGACCGCACCCCACCCGCACCTCGCAGCCTTCGCTCGCTCGCAGTCTGATGAATTCCATGAACACCCGTTTCAAGAACCTCGTGAGTTCGAAACGAAAGAGCTCCTCTCACAACTCGTCGTCGCCCACTCCCTCAGCTGCTGCTGCAACCCCCACCGGCCAGCAACGTCCAACCTCGCTGTCTCCTCAGGCCTCCAATTCCAGCAGCTCTTCGCTCCCCATGAATCCCCAGAATCCCCTGGGCCGCCCGCCCTCATACACGTATGCTCCTCCAGGCGGCCTCGGTGCGCCCCCCTCTGCTCACGGCCGTCCTGCGAGTCCCCTTCCTCCCATCAACACGTCGGCGCCTGGATACCCTCCCCAGCAGCCGCCCTACCCTCCCCAGTCTGGCCCTCCTGGATACCCTCCCCAAGGGCCTCCGGGTCCTGGCTATGGCCACGGCTATGGTGCACCACCTCCGCCCGGCGCGCCTACGCCCCATGGCCCGCCCGCCGTGTACAACAGGCCCAACGCCATGGCAGAGGTCGCGGGCGAGGGTCGTTCAAAGGCGCAGCTGATTGTCGGCATTGATTTTGTGAGTAGCAGCCTTGGGCATCAACGCGCGCAGAAGCTGACCACAACACACTCACGCAGGGTACCACCTTCTCCGGTGTCGCATTCGCTTTTGCGACAAACACTGAGGCCAAGGAAGACATCATTACCGAATGGCCTGGCGCGGGCAACCAGACCAAACAAAAGATTCCTACGGTGCTCTACTACGACCAGTACCAAAAGGTTGTTGGCTGGGGCCCTGACATTGCTGATGCTTTGGCCCCCACGGGCTACCCCAAGCCTGGCGTGCAAAAGGTCGAGTGGTTCAAGCTGCAACTGATGCTGTCTGGAAACACATACATTGACCCCATCAACCTTCCCCCGCTACCCCCGGGCAAGTCTGAGATCGATGTCGCTGCCGACTACCTCTTTCACCTCCGACAGGCGATGCGGAACCAGCTGCAGAAGACGCTGGGTGAGGTGTTCAACCGAGAAGAGCGCAACATCAGGTACTACCTGACAGTCCCCGCCATCTGGAACGATGCTGGAAAAGCTGCCACGCGCGCTGCTGCCATCCAGGCGGGTTTCCTTCGTGACGAAAACGACAACAGGTTGACACTCATTACTGAACCCGAGGCTGCTGCCATGTTCTGCTCCAAGACTGGTCTGCTCAACCTCAAGATACACGACGCTGTGCTCATTGTCGATTGCGGTGGTGGTACCGTCGATTTGATCGCCTACGAGGTCGAAGAGGAGCAACCCTTCTCCGTTGCCGAGTGCACAGCAGGCTCCGGTGACTCGTGCGGTTCTACAGCGCTCAACCGCAACTTTAGCAACATTCTCCGTGCGAAGATTAGGAAAATGAAGCTGCCAGACGGCTCAAAGACTGCCGGAAAGGTCTACGCCAAGTGCATCATGGACTTTGAGAACAGGATAAAGGCCGACTTCCGTAACAACGGACAGAAATGGGCCGTTGACGTTGGTATCGAGGCCGAGTTCCCTGAAGCGGGCATTGAAGAAGGATACATGACTTTTACCAACGAGGAGATTCTGCAGTGCTTTGAGCCTGTGGTGAACCGAATTCTTGAACTTGTCAGGAACCAAATTATTGCTATTCAGGCGCAGAACAGGTCATTACAGGTAAATACATGCGATTTCAGAGCGAGATCGTTCCAATGCTAACTGACATAGAACGTCCTGGTTGTCGGTGGTTTTGGTGCCTCGGAGTACCTCTTTCAACAAATTAAGCTCCACGTCCCTCCGCAATTCCAGTCCAAGGTTGTTCGACCCATGGACTCGGTCGCCGCCATTGTCAAGGGAGCCGTTACCGCCGGTATCACCGAGCGCATCGTCACACACCGTGTTGCACGTAGGCATTACCTCATGGCCACCCTTCAGCCCTTCAAGGAGGGTCACCACCCAGAACAATACCGCGTCCCTTCACTCGACGGCAAAGATCGTTGCAAGTACACACGCCAGATCTTTGTGCAAAAGGGACAAAGAGTCAAGATTGGCGAGCCTGTCAAGGTTTCGTTCTTCAGGCAGGTGGCGCCAGGCGCAACCCTCATGTACGAGGATATTCTGTACGCATGTGACGACGATGTCTGCCCAGAGTACACCAAGGATCCTCGTAAGTCCCTGCAAAGTTCAATGGCACAATAATAAATTTCTAACATGAAAAAACAGGCATCAAGGAAGTCGTCACATTGACATCAGACCTATCACGGAAAAACCTCGAAAAGGACTTTGAACGCATGGATACCCCTCAAGGCACTTTTTACCGCGTATACTTTGACATTTACCTTACTCTCGACGGCTCAGAGTTCAACGCCGAGCTCGTCTGCCAGGGCGAGGTCATGGGCAGATGCACAGCGCGCTTTAGGTAAAAAAAAATAACCTTTTGCCCCCCTTTTTGGGAGAAATCATCAAAACGCGCGCCAAAAGTTGCTTTGGGCTATATATTTATACATATACTACTCATACACACAACACATACATGTATACTTTTGGGGCATCATTTTGTTCTCCTTTTGCTATTTTCGGTACTCGAGAGCGAGAGAAAGAAACGGGTTAGACGTGGTGACCAATTGGCGGGCGGACTTGTTCGTTTTTTTTTCCTGTGAGTGTCTACTGGGCCATTTAACGCGAAATGCTGTTTGTTTTGTTGGATTCTCTTTGAATTGCATACCCCCACCCACCATCTCGAAAAGGCCGAATAATGAAAATTACATTCTTTTTTTGTTCGCTTGGTGTAGTGCCTACATCGGTGAAGAGACGCGAGAACAGTACTCTGTTCTGGCTCAATCATCGTTCAAATATGCCAGAAGATGATATTCTCTTATCTGTAATCAAAAAACCCCCAATGCACGATCGTTATTTAAAACACGACTTGTTTTTTTTCAAGCAGGCAAATTATCAGCCTTGCTCAACCGCCTCACCCCCTCGGCCTTCCTATCCTCTGCCAAAATCGACGCAAACTTACTCGCCTTGCGAATCTGCGGTCCCTTCCAGTAGAAAACGTAAATCGGCACCACAATCAAACAAGACAGACATGCCAGCAGCGTCGTCGCATACTGTGATCGCTGGGGCGATGAATCCGCCAGGTTATGATATAGCGGTGTGGCATACATGGCGGAGATACCAGCGAGCAAGTCGCGCGCGAATGCGTTACCGCCGGTAGCAGAGGCAGAGTAAGGGCCGTAAGCTGCAATCATGTAGTCGACGGAGGAGTAGTAGATTGCAAAGTTTGCCAGGCCGACGAGGAAGGAGAAGATCATTGGGGCGATCCAGTGGGTTTGGGGCGGACCCATGCCTTTTTGAGTTTGCGTTAGCTTTTTTTTTCTATTTCAAACTGCGTTCCAAGACTGGAAAGGGGGGGGGGGGGTTATCGAATCTTACAAGTCCAGGCGAAGCCAAAGAGGCCGATGGGTTCGAAGAGAGCGAGTAGCAAGAGTGGCTTGAGACGGCGCTCGGGCGTCATCCAGTCTGGACCGTTTTTCTTGCGCAAGTGGTCGTCGCGCCAGAACCAGGGCCAGTAGAGGAAGTAGGTGAAGAAGTAGGAGGCGTTGATGGGGATGAATGCCCAGGCTACCTGCAGAGTTCCAAAGCCAAAGTTGTTGGGGAAGGTGACGTTGAAGGCTTCGAGAAAGGTGAAGATGAGGGCGTCAGAGAAGCCGGAGAGGAGGGAAAGGAGGAGGACGATGGGTTCGCGAATGAACATTTCAAAAGGTCGGAGCCAGATTTTGCCGGCTTCTTTGAGGGAGATGCGCGGTTTCTTAAGCTCGTTGGGGCCGTAGATGTTGGGGTCTTCACCTGTCTCGCGGCGCCGCTTTGCTTCGCGGTCGATGAGGATCGTGGCTCTGCTTTCGGGCATGAAGAAGTGAACTGCTTGTACTGTTACACCGAAGATGAGTTGGATCCAGAAGTTCCATTGCCATGAGAGGTCTGCAACGTGACGTTAGCATGTCTTTTGTAATATTGCTGCCAGTAGACTTACAGCGCTCAATAGGGCCACCGATGACACCTCCGATACTAGTTCCGATAGTGGAAGACAGCACAATGAAGCACAGCGGCCAGTGCTGATTTTCTGGCTCATACATATCCGCGATAAGACCAAGTGTAACACTGCCCCCAGCAGTAGAGAGGCCGCCCAAAGCCCTGCAAACGATAATGGTAGCAAAGTTCGGAGCCACTGAGCATGGAATCTCCCAGATATTGATAAGAAACATGCTCAACTGCAGAATCGGCCATCGCCCAAACTCCTCGCTCCATGGTGCCCACAGCTCGCATCCAAATGAGTAGAAGACGAGATAAATCATCTGGCCGACTCGAGCTGCCTGCGTGCTGATGCCAAAGTGCTCCGCGACGGGGTTGACGGCACTAGGATACACTGACGTGTTGAAGTTCATAGAGATTTGAATTCCAGCAATCGACGCCAGGTACATTGCCTTTTTCCACTTGGGCCACGAATATGCGAGCTTGTCCCAGCACTCCCACTCTCGCAATTCGCGCTTTCCATCTGGGCCAGGAGCCATGGATGGGTGTCGTCTTCCTTGGGGGTCAACGGGGACATTGTCTGACTGTGACTTTTCTCCGTCGCTCATATCAGCCGATCTTCTTGGGCGGTGTTGCTCAGCGTCTTTTTCAGAAAACTGTTGCGCGCCCGCTGGCGTGGGCGAAGGGTACCGAGACTCGATTCCCATGGTCGCGAGGCTGGCTGGAAGGAAAAAAGCTGGAGAAGTGACTCTGGGTGTGTGGGTTGAGATTTGAAGGCCCTCTTGAACCCAACAAAAGTCCACATTTGGCCTCCACTGTCGATATGACGTCTAGTCTCCATACTCGTTACAGTGAAGTATTCCTACATAGCCAGAGCGTATGTCAGCGTGGGTCTCTCCACGATAGGATGCAAAGCGCAGAACATCGGCCTAAAAATTGGACTGTTGGGATCGGAGGCGTGTATGCCATCGACGACAACATGGGACAAGCATGTGTAGCAGTGGACCCTAGCCTGACACTGTATCGGAGCTGTTTGGCGACAGACCCCTGTGGGCCCCAACTATCTGACGACAAGCTTCGCCTGTGCAGCGAAAAAATTAGTGATGTTCTTGCTCCACTTTCCCTACCGGCACGCACGCACGCAGCCGACGACAAAACAACGACAGATCTACATGCGGCTCAAGATAAAGATGGGTTGAGTGGGTCTGGAGCTCAAGAGTTCGTGGATTCCCAAGCAACTAGTGAATTCGCTCGGCAAACCTTGGGTTGCTTGAGTGCATCGCGATCTTGCAGACAATTTACTGATTCAGAAACTGCTGGGGATTTGGGTGTTTGAACAACATCTGAGCAGCATAGTATGTGTTGATCAATCATCCTGAGGTGTTGAATATGCATGGTGTTCTAATACGGCCTGGATGTCCGCGATCGTCCGACTAGGGTGTAGTGATGGGAGGCTCTGCGGGTGAAAACTCTTAGTGCAGCGGCATGACATCACTATGCATCAGGGTCCCACAAAGGGTTGCGGCACGACAACAACCATCACAAGGGGCCAGACCTTATTTGTGTTTTTTATAGTAGACTATACGAAATCATTTCACATGAGATATAACAAGGACTCGGCCAATGCCATTGGACGTGTGATTCAGTCGCAGTGTACTGGTTGAGCTAAACTCCAGAACCTTGCCTTGTGCATATACAGGGTCAACTATATCGTCATTTTCTAGCTGGTAAATATAGAGCAGAACATTGCAATCCAATAGCAATTACCAACCATAATAAGGTTGATCCTAGGCCGTGAGACACCCGGTGTGATGAGACAAAATCCTGGTACTATCACTTGAGGAGGTTGTGTCTCTTTTTACGTAGCTGAACTTTACTATGACTCTCTCGGAATATTTCCTGTACCTTCTCAAGACACTTTCTGCCTTATTTTGTTTAAGGAAAACGGTTTAAGGCATGGCCTATTGCCTAATACAAGCGGAACCTTTTTTCGCGCAAAACTACAACCTTTTAGTACCCTATTGCATCAGGCCATAACATCCTGAAAAGATATATGAGAGGTTTTATACGATCCTTTCGGATGGGAGCTAATACTAAAAGCCTATTATCGCCCAAATTGTTGGCGTAGCGTGGTGATTCATGCGATCTTACTACCATGGTAGATACTTCCAATTCGAAGAGCTTCCGGATATAGCTAGTATTCTAGAGAGTCATAGTCATATTTTATCTTGCTTATATCATCTAGTTAGCTCATGAAGCAAACAGCCTGTGGCTAGGCCACTTATCACCTGATATAGGAAGCGCAACCGGGAGCCCGGCACCGGTCGTTAAAGGAGCCTTGAGGAACGAAGGGGGGAGGATGGATACGTGATATCATAGTACAGACCTCACGGCGCAATCATCGCGGCACCGTACCTTTTCGTGGCTACGTCCAGCGGTTTTCCTGTTTTGGGTTTTGGGGCCATAGAAGTCCTCCGTTCCTCAAGGCACTAATTGCTTACGTTGGGTTGGCTTCTAATTACTATCAGTTTGCAACTACCTGAAATCATCTTGTCACATTTTCGCTACTGGAATGCCTTCCGACTCTATTACTTCACTTGGTCCTACTTCCTTCGCCCTCTTCGGCGCAGCTTCTGACGTATCCGCGCCTGGCGCACTCTTGCACTTCCGCCCTCGCTTTCCCTTATTTTTAGCCTCTTCGGCAGCGTCTCTCTCCTTACGCTTTTCCTGAGCTTTTTTAAGATCCCCGTAACTTATAAATCTAGTCGTCCCTAGGAATACTAGAGACAGAGCATGTGATTGCATCTTCTAAAGAAGGAGCAATGGGCCATAGCCAACTCCAGAAGGGTGGCTTGAAGCGAACAACAAACACCATTCAATACAGTGTCTATATAAGCAGATCTGCGACACACTTATCTACATGCAGCACTGCTAAGATGTCAAAAGGATCAATCAGCCGTCAACGGAACTTTCGTGTTGAATCGCTGTACATTTTTTTGGATTTCAACAATCGGAGAAATTATCACTATAATATCACTTCCTCTGATATGCGGAAACGTAGAAGATATTACTTGGCGCGAGAAAACAGGATGTATCCATCAAGAGAGCGATTGACAATGTTGACTTGTACGGCAATCGCAAAGAGGAACTTCAGGAAAAAGGTAGGATTCTAGAGCTAGAAGTATTAGAATCATTATATACTAAAGACAGTCGTATGCTCTAAAACAGTATAGAGTTAAGATACCTTTTCTATAAAATTGTCTCATCACACTGTGCGTCTCAGGACCCAGGGAGTGACCTTACCACATTTCATTGGTATGAATTTAGCTGTTCAAAATGCACCTGTGAACTATTACACATTGTAAAAACATGGTAGAGTTTACCCTTCACA